AGTCGGATTAACAATCCAGTGCTGCGTAGGCTAAGGCTGGGCTGGCGTTGTAGTGAACTTCGCCACGAGGTTGGATACAGTGCATGATCAACATTTACATCCGAGGGGCTGATTTAACGCATTCTGGTAGGCGGCCCATGTGAGACACCACGACCTCCAGTCAAGTCAGTCACTCCCTCACACTTCTGGCTCGGGAGGCGGAAACTGCAAGTATCAAGTATATTGAACAGGTTTGGTGGAGTCAACAACATATCGGAAAGTCGGCTTGGGAATGCACATGTGGCGATAGGCCTGTAGCTAGTGTATGAAACGATGAAACGCTGCTTGAACGCCGCACTAGCTGCGCAGTCTATGCCCAGTTCTGAAGCTCGCGACGTTTGGTGTGGCACATCTTTGCGAGCCGACCGATCAATCACAGAGCGCGAGTGCGAGGCGTGGAGAGAGTAACGCGTGCGTGACTACGCAACGTGATGGGCTTGGAAGAAGCATATCGGATGCATCCTGGTGAATGAGTCTTTTTCGCGTCGAGGCAATATACTGCTCTGGCAGACATGATGATGGTATTCTTGACGCGCGTAGCGTCGACCTACTTGTATGTACAGAGCAACATAGCCACAATGGCCAAGACAGCATTCGTAATGCACACATCAATGAACTCAGTCGTTCATCCAAGCCGTCACACGGTTCGCGCCAAAGCGTCCTGCAAACCGCAGGCCCGTGGAGCCCATTGGGAAATACGAGACGATGTACCATAATAGACATACTAGTTGGGCGATAGCCGCAACGAAGGTCAAGATGGTGCTGTGGAGCTAGTCACGCGGACAGTGTCAGTAAACACAAACTATGGGGACGATAATCGATAAGGGAGGCGTGGGGGGGCTCGCTCTCGGGCAGCCATGAACAAGGGTCGACATGTAGCAGGGATAAATGTACTGGGGTAAGAACTTGAACTTACACCCAGAGAGAAGAAGAGTGTGAGAGCAATGCTGCCGAAGTAAGCAGCAGTGAACGGAAGCCTCGGACCAGAAATGAGGTGCTGAACTGATATTTTGTCAGCGACGGTAGTGGTGGGCTCGGATAATGAGGCTGCTTACCGTATTGCATAGGGCCCATGAGGACACCCCAAGCTGCCAAAAAGAGAACGCTTCCCATGGACCATCTGCAATCAGGCCATGGATGTTAGCGCTAACGTTCTTCAGGTGATGTGCATACGACTTGGCGTGGCAGAGTCTGGACTAGATGAAGGTTGTCTGCACCCTGCAGCGCGCCGAACCTTGGACCCGCATGATCGCTACAGAGGGTCCAGCGCCGATCTCTGGTGGCTAGAGAGTCAAGCGACTGAATTCGTGCAGGCTAACGTCCGCAGTCGGTGAGCGGAAGATGCGATCCTTGACATTGCAGATTGCATGAGTTCGCATAGCCGTGCCGAAGGACGTATGCAGTATGTGTCACTGCCTATCCGCCTTGTATGATCTCACCACTGGTGAGAAGGCTGCATGCAGGGCGCCTTTGGCTGGATACGAGGCAACAGGAGAGCTGAGGACTTACAAAATGGCAAACTTGCGCGGCCTGAGCAAGAAGACAGGCGTGAACATCAGGCCAATACAAGTAGCAAACATTGCCAAGGCAGCAATGAGCAGCCCACCAAACACGAGCAATCGGTCCCACCGACTCACTACAGGTATGGGTTAGCGGACGTAAACATGAGTCAAAGGTGTGTGCAATGCGAGGGTCCTGCATCCGAAGTGGTAACGCAGGAACTCCCTTCTGTCACATTGTCGGTTGTCGCGCGGCCGGGTACGGTTCGCAGGCAGATGACACGTTGATGCCTGTGGAATTATGGATATCTCCCCAACTAGAGGGATGCGCATTTCAAGAATGCCATCTGACAAGACATGGAAGGAAGACAAAGAACCATGGCGGTGCAGGTGAAACTAGCCCCGACCGTTGTCGTCTGATGACATCACGCGCCACAGCTATAGTGGGAGGGGTTGTAGCAGTAGGGTATATCTCAGATAAAGTGGAGATGGGGAGCGAGAGAGACGCGTAAGGAAGGTGGACGTGTTTTGCCACAGGGTGCAATGGAAGACGTAGACTTACGCGCAAACCACCCCTCTTCCTCCTCTCTGCGGGTGGGCGCTGGGAGAGGGGCGCCAGGGTTGCCCTCTGTTATGGGCAGTCGAACATAGCCTCCCTCGCCGAAGGGATTCAGGTTCTGGATGCGGCCCAGGAAAGAGGGCGGCGCGGTGTTGATGGGCGCGTCTGCCTCTCTCCTGCTCCAGCCGAGCGAGTTCATCGAGTCGCGGAAGGAAGCGGAGGCCATGTTGGGGGAGGTGAACACGAGGTGCTAGCGGATCTGAGTATGCCCAGGTGTGAGGATGGGAGTTAGTCGGGAGAAGCTTTGGTCGAAGCCGCAGCAGGCGACACAAAGAGCCGTGGAGGTGCGAGTCTTGGTACGGCTAGCAGATAGCGGCCGTCGACCCTGGCTGGTGTATGTGTAGCTGCCTGGGCCCCGCTGCGGTGAGTGGCTTGGGCGCGTCGTGGGAGGGCACAGCAGCGGTTTGTTCGATTCGGTGCCACTGCTGCTACTGCGAAGACGGACCGGAGGATTTCGTGCAGATGATCGACCTGCGGTGTAGGAGGCAGACGGCCAATGGCAGATGTCAGACAGGCGTCTCAGATGGGACGACGGATGGGCGAGGCTTGTGACGAGGCCGCAGAGGGTGCGAAGGTGTAGCGGAAGGAGCGAAGGACCGGGGGGCGGCTGCGGCGCGTGTGATTGGGCGGCGGGGGTCGCAGAGCAGGAAGGAACTCTCCGGCGTGTCGTATGCGATCCGCCTAGTCGTCGTGGTGGAGGGTGAAAGCAAAGGGCATAGTCGATGGACGCCCTTAGCGTCGCCTCGGTGCTCTAGCGACTAGCGCGAGATCGTCTCCCGCTGCCATGAGCCTAGCAAGCATCAAGGACCATGGCCTGGAGAACCACACACACTCTCGGCCAGGTCGGCCATGGCTGCCCTGGACTGTCGACAATGGATGACGCTTGACAGGAGCCCGAAGCCCTTTAGTGAGTCACATTGCGCGCCCTCACCCAGCGCTGCGTAGAAACCGGGTAGCTGAGACAAGATTACCTCGTTCGTGACCAAAAGAGGCCACACCTTGCTGCCGGGGTGGGCGCAGGACCGGGGTGGGCAACAGGCAGAGCCACACTCAGCGTAAGGCGGGTGAGAGATGGCGAAGAGCCGCCAGAGCAGCGAGGTGTATATTATGCGGCCGTGCCGCGTCTCTACCTGTCCAATAATTTCCCTCTCACGACATACTCAGTGTATGTCTACCTGTGGAGTACTCATCACTATATCTGCGGACCACCGCGGGCCGAGCTTCCCTCCACCTCTCCAGACGCCCTCATCTCCGTACGCCTATCTCTGTACGCCGCCGCACGTCATCCCCATCTTACGCACCACCGCAGCGGCATCGTCTCGGCGCGCCGTGCTACTCTCTGCCGTTCCCAAGCCCTCGCCCTCGCCCTCGCCCTCGCTGGCTGCGATCCGCGTCAAACAGGCTGATTCGCCATTGCCCATAGCTGCTTGGCGCGCGCACTAGCACCACCACCTCTCTGACCGCCTTCCGGCTTAGGGCCCTCCCACACCGACGCCTCGCTTCAGCTGCCCCGTCGTCGCTCAAGAGAGAGAGAGCCGCTGCAGCCAGCGCAATATCCTCAGCCTGTGCCGCAGACAGTTGCCAAACAAACGCACGGCAGCCCGCCTACCACGCTCTGCTCCACCACGACCAGGCACATCCCACCCTTGATCCCTCCCCGCCATATCCCCCGACTTCCTTCTCCATATCCCACCTCCGCTATTTTACCCACCACCACGCCCGTCGCACCAGGCCTCTTACTGCAAGACGACATAGTTGCCACTCGACCAGCACCTCACCTCTCCATTGCTGCCGCCCTCGACCACCAAGGCAAACCTCTTTGTCCCACCCCACGCCGCTGCATCCAGACCACGACCTCCACCACCACCCTCGACGACCAAGTTTGCTGCCCGTGAACCGCCGCAGCTATCCGCCCGAGCGACCTCACTCCTTCTCTCCGCGACCGAGAGACCGAGTGTTGCAGGTGCATCTCATTGCGCCTTCCTTCAGTTCCGAGGTGAGTCAACGTCCGGCTGCTCTTTCCTTTACCACCGCGTCTCCCACTCCACCGCACCTCGCTTCGGCCTGCGTCGTCAAGACCACGCCAGCCATATCGCGGCCGTGTGTGACGGTTTCGCTGCTTTTGTCCCCTGTACCACCATCCCCACAGCGCCGGGCTGCTGCACGGCTGTCGTCCGCCGTCGCTCGCCTCGCGGGTTACCTCGCTGTGCGCCACACTCATGCAACCAACCCTTCAACCGCCCAACACTTCAGACTGCTGGACTGTGCGCTGACATATGCTCCCAGTTCGATCCCGGAACACAGCTCCGAGTTCCCTCACTCCCCCACAACCACCTCCACGCCAGCAGACCCGAACCGGTGAGCGATACTTCCCAGAACGACAACTCTTGCATACAGAACATGGCACTAACGTCTTCCGCGCAGACAAACACTAGCCTCCTCTGCCCCAGATCAGAGGCTTGCTCGTCACTATCAGGCGTCACTAGCTAGGCCTCTCAGCTTGCTCGCACTGTCCTTGTGCACACCAGATAGCAAGCATCTGCCAGGGTCCTTATAGCGACACAGACCGCCTCGTGCTGCAATCATCCTGCAAGCTGCGAGCGCGATCCTTAGTCACTTGCTTAGATCGACGACAGATCGTTTCAGATCATACACATCCACATTCCTGGAATACTGCAACCCACAGTAATGCCAAAGCCTAGTAAGTACGCCTTTGTGACGTCCCCCACTCTGCACCGTCATGAGAACGGCGCTAGAGTGCATTCATTTCCTATATCAAACTCTCCTCTCTCCTCCCCTTCCCCGCACTTCCTCTTCCGTCATTTCCAACGTCAATTCTTATCATGTACTACGAGACCATACTGACTGTCCCTCAAGCGGACGCTCTCTTCACTCCTCCCTCTTCCTACTCTCCTCAAAAGCCGATTGCGAGGCTGGACCTTGGCTTCGACTCTCCCTCTGACGACGTGCTAGACGCTGATATCTTCAACATGACTGGCACAGGATCACCTCAACCATACATCAAAGAAGAAGTCGACGAGATGTCTTTCAACCAACGCTTCCTCGGCCACAACGGCCTTGACATGAACCACCAATACGCTAACGCTCAGTTCGCTGGGCACGAGAATGCCAATGGCATCAACCCCTCTGAGCTCAACATGAGCGGGAGCATGATGGGCAACCACTTCGCCGGCAACAGCTACATGCAGGGCGGAGCAGGCATCGCCGACGACGAACTTGCCGAGTCACTTGGCACTTTCGAACAACAACCAGGCTTCAACAACTTTGCCCAAGAGCAGGTCGGCCAGCAAGACTACTACCACAGTCACACCAACAACCCAAACATGAACCAGGTCTACTCAAACACCCCAGACGACCTGCCCATCCACAGCCCCTTCAACCACCCTGGCAACTTCGACTTCAACCAGTACCAATCAGTACCACAGAGGATGAACTTCCCTGGCAGCATGCCCAGTGGGTCCATGCGCCAGCGTATCACCATGAGCCGGACTGGTTCTGACAGCCGTGCTCCCATGTCACCAAAGACCCCTGCCATGGCTGGTCTCCACCTCGGCACGCCAGACTCTGGCAACTTTACTCAGCCAATCATGACCAACATGCACCGCCATCAAAAGAGCGTGTCTGGCCAGTGGGACGGCACTCCCGGAAGTGCGCACTCATGGATCGACTCGCCCACCGCGTCGCCCCACCAGGGTACCATGCACCACCAGCAGATCACCGATGTCCTGCATTCCGGCAAGCACAACTCACTACCCGCCAAGGTCGATATTGGCCAGAACGCAGACGCCAAGAAGCGCCGGCGTCGGGAGTCTCATAACTTGGTCGAGCGTCGCCGACGGGACAACATCAACGAGCGCATTCACGACTTGTCTCGTCTTGTACCTCAGCATCGCCTCGAGGACGAGAAGATCCGCAAGCACATCAACAACAATGGCCCCTTGTCACCTACCATGGGCGCCACCGGCATGTCGCCTCCACAAGCAACGTCACTTCTCGCTGGTGGCAATGGAAGGCGGGCCGCTGGTAACATTACACAGGGACTGCCCATCGAGGAGAAGGACAAGGGCCCGAACAAGGGTGACATTCTCAACGGTGCTGTCAGCTGGACTCGCGATCTTATGTGGATGCTGTCCAAGAAGCTTCAAGAGTGTGACGAGCTAGCTGCACGACTTCAACAAGCCACTGGCGAAGAGTGGGTTACCGAACAGACTGAAGATGAGAAGCGCATGAAGACCGAGATCCTCGAGGCTCTTGAGAAGAACGGCTCGGGTACCTTCCGATACTCGCGAGGCCCTGGCTCCGGACTCCGAGTGCCCAAGCACACCAACTTGGCCGGTGAACCTATCAGCGGCGCATCTCCACAGAGTCTTAGCCCAGGCATGCAGAGTACCGGTAGCGGCTCTGGATCGAATCAGCAGCAGTACTGGTCTAGTCTCAAAGAGGAGGATGAGTACGGCATGGACATGAACTGATCCAAAGCCTACTAGCTGTCTCTGTTCTTCCGGCCTTCTTATCTCCTTGTCGATTCCTTCACTATGATACCCCGCGATACCCCGCACCCGTTCCTGCATCCTGCTTGATGCATACGCTAGAGCTGCTACAATGAGGCTAAAGACACCTCACATCGGTCGACCATTCCTCGGCATGTCGTCGCCCACGCGCGTACCGTCTCTGCTGGCCAAGGACGGATGAAGCTCTCGCTTGCATCAAAGCACTTCCCATTTCGTTGCATAATATGTTCTACCCCTCCGTGGCACATCATCACCCTGGTTTCCCGCTCATCATCACCCGAGCTTAGCCTACCAACCGGAGCACGAAGGTCTTCGCCGCTTCGGTATTCGACACTTTCCGTACACGGCGGTCTCTCCTTCTGGCAGCTCTGCGACTCGTTTTCTTTCATCTATTTACATCTTTCTCGCATGTATGTGGCGTGTCACGGTTGTTTACCTGCAGTTTTGCACATCACCACTCTTGTCTTCTTTAATGACGGTTTTGTTTATAGGAGGCACATGTAAGCATGGTCGGCGCGTTTCGGATTGTTGGCGTTCTATGGTGTCAGCACTTATGTTGGTGGGAAGAGAATGATAGATGCAGAAGACGTTCGGATGACGCTTGCTATGGTTACGATGGGCCTATGGGAATTCTTGCTACTGCGCGTTCTGCCTTTCAGTTCATGGGCTCCGGTATGGGCCGATTGGTCCCAGATACAATTTCATCTACATCAATAACTCCGTCTTTCATGCCTTGTCAAGTGAGGTGAAGTTGGTTGAGCCGCGCCCCGCCCCTTCCAGTCGGGCGCTGGAGGCGACCGCCGCAAGTCCTCCCGTCAGGCAGCCAGTGTGGAGGACGAAAAGGCCCACAAAAGCAACATTCCGCATTCCTGCGTCTCTACCACGCCTCTCCCGTGTCTCGGCCTCATAGCGTTCACATTATTCAGATACGAGCGAATCGCCATTGCCGCCGCCTTCACCCAATCTCCAAGATTGCGCAAAGACTGTGATACACGGACTACTTGGTCAGCTAAGCTGTGGCGTCGGCGCCCTAAGTAGCGCTGGATCTCGTACAACAATACCGTATCTAGGGCTTATGGGAAAGTGGAAAAAGAAAAGGCAAGTCTAGCCCGCCCGCATCTCAACGGCTAACGAAGGTATAAAGAAGAAAAGCAATTTCAAGTCCCTGTACATATCCGAAGAGACGTTCCGGATGTGAGACCGGGTGTTTGGTTGTTTCGGGTGGTGGGGTGAGTCGTGAACGGTGGAGGATGGGGAATGAGATATGGGTGTGTGAGTAGTACATGCAGGTGACGAGAAGAAGAAACAATGGCTTGGCTTGGTTGGATGGGAGGTTGGGTTGGGTCGGGATAACTTGGATGGGGACGGGGGAGGTTTGATTGCGCATTCCCATACGTTTGATGCGGACGAGGTAGTTCGGTAGAAACCAAAGAACCACCATGCATCCCATCCCCACAGCCGCTCATACCCACAGCTCGAGCTCAACCTTCAGGGATCAGAAAGAAATATGTAAGTATCCCGGCCGACATTCCCACCAACCAAACCCTCCCTCGCAATCCCCTCATCACAAAAGCCATACCCATGCCATGCAGTCCGTTCCGACACGAAACACCTATATCCCCCCTTCATATACCCCGTCCTGCGTCCCCGCCATTCCTGCCGGCAGATCACCCCCCATGCCAATATGCTTACACGCACGCTACGATCGGTCTGCAAAACGGCCTCGGGTCCCGCAGCCAATCAGCTGCCTACACCCTTACTACGTCCTTCGCTCACGATGCAATGTTATCCAATCAACGGGGTCCGTGTCCACGGCGAATGGATTATGCGCAATATGCAGGTAACCGTACTGTATACGCGAGCGGCGAAGGGTTCTGCAAGAAGAGACAAAAGCCGTTGCGGGGGTTGGGTTGGGGTAAAGCAAGGACGTGGAATGCAATGGAATGGAATCAACCGGCGAGGGGGACCTTGTCGCGATGTTGCTACACAATGGCATTGCGGCTATAAGGGGTATAGCCCTATCCCCGTCGTTTGACGGAACAAGGAGAGGGGATGGGGGGCACGATCGGTGTTGAGGTGTTTTGGTTGTGACATTGCAAGGGAGTCGGCAGGCAGTTTGGGGTGTTGGGATCGGTACTGACATCTGTTGTGCAACATGCGTACGTACGCACGCTAGTGTGGATAGCTGTGTTCTGGTAGTTCATAGTGAGGGACGTTATAGTATGATAGCATGCACAGTTATGCCGTTGAAGTTGCTAGTTCGCATAGTTAGCATAGCTGGCATAACCATAACACTGCGCATGCATGCAGATCAGGTTCAGCAAAGGAGACCGACGGGGTCTCATCTCACTTCAGCCCGTGATTCTCTCGTCGCAAGATGTATACGGTACTTTGCGCAACGCCAAACCCGCACTCGCCCGTCTCTCACGCCCTCCCACAGCAAAGTGAGAAGTCCATCTGCCGCCGACGTCACAATACAAACCCCCCATAGACACAACCACACTGTTTCAGCGGCAGAAACAGCAGTAGCGCAAAAACAAAGTGTTCATGGCGCTACCAAAGATGCGCATCGCACATGTTCAGATAGCCGGACATTTCAGCAGGGAAGATGGGCGTTGAGCAAGTCATCGTGCCCTTATCGGCAGTGTCAGTTAGCCGGCTGTACAACCGTTACACCCCCCGATCTGCAGAGCAGCGTCGTTTCCTAGATCTAGGTTTGCGGGGGATGACTTGCAGGTCTCGGTTGAAGATCGGGTCTGACGGTTACGACGGCAGGATGACGGGGGATGGTGATCGATGGGGATGTGTAGCGGTGAACAAGGTGTATTTGCGCCGCTATCTTATCGAGGTTCTACAAAGAACGATGTGATTCAGATAGACCTGCAGTGTTATCTGCACTGCCTTGTCTTTCATCGGATCTGTTGTGGCGCGCCCGGGTATCACCAGTATCCTCGGTGTTTACAGCATCTGCCAAGCTGTCATGGGCTTTCCTTGTTGTGTCCAAGTTGCTTGTATTTGTGCCTTTCGCGGAGATGGATGCCAATGCCGATGCCGCCGATCCGACCATCCCCTTGTCTCACTATGTGCTTTGCCGTTCTGGTCCAGGGCATCCTCTCAATGTCACCTGTCGAATCTGCAGTCTCGCTGCAGGGCGCGCATGGGGCGTGCTCACACATGCGCATGTGTGTCATTTGGCACGTCGAAGGTTTTCGGAAAGAAGAGTGGAGACGTATCCCGAGGGATCTATGTGAGGCCACGTTCTTCGGATGCTGCCAAACGACTGATCACGAGGACCGCATCCTTCACACGAATAACAACTCAGTATTCTAGGCTCCGCGAGGTTTGTTTTGGCCGTTGGGGTGCGGTGACTGAGATGCATTTGCAGCGGTGGTAGCCGCGTTGGGGCCGTCGCTGTCTTCGCCGAAGCCGAGGTTCTTGAACGAATCCGGTGCCATCAGATTTCTAATGCGGTGATAACGGTCAGCCATATGCTCATTATGTGAGGGGAACAATCGGAGCGAGAGGAGGGATGCGCGACTCTGCAGATGCCACTGGAATTAGATGACGGAATGATGTGGGCTGCTGGTGGGAAGAAAGCGATGCGACATGTTTGTATTGCGGTCCAGCCATGCCTTCCTCGAGACAAAGTAGATGATGGTACGTACCGGTCCATGCGACATGACAGGTATGACTTGGAGAGGCCGCGGCATTCAGGATCGTTGGTGCCGCGATGCGACTTGATGCATCGGAGGTACGACAGCATGATGTCCTTGCATTCTCCTGAAATGCAGTGTCAGCGGGTCGTTTGTACAAATAGCGATGACGGCTCGGTGCCGGGATGGTTCGAATGGTTCAATAGGACGTAAAGGGTTTGTGAAGCGTACCATCGTGGTCGAGAGGGAATGAGCCGCGCTCTGGCCTGAATTGAAACAACTGTTAGCACAAGGACCTGCAAGATAGGAAGAGGCAGCCATGCTGTCCGAGTACTCAAGGGTCGAAACGAGACATGCGCATTGAGCAAAGAACTTACGGATTCGGCTTTTGGACCTTTTGCCCAAGCCCAGCGCCTCCAAAATTGCTCATATCGGCAAATCAGGTCCTGAATTGAGTACTTGGATAGACTTCGGGGGTCCGTGGGGTAGTAGTCTGGCTTGATGGTCGTGTGGAAGGATGGTGACTGCAGTGAAGTGAGGGTCAGATAAACTTAGCGCGATCGGCCTCGTTCGGTGGCCAGTGCTGCAACCTCGGGATGACGTGCCTTGTGCATCGCGCTGCAGGGCAGGTCGACATCACGACTTCTCCGCTACACTTGCATTCTGAAGCCAAACTATTATGATCAAGTTCACTTCATTGTGCGACGGCCACTTTCGACCTGCTTCCACTCCAGTGTCTGAATTCCCATCGAGGTAGACAATTGCGTGCGCAGTTCGGCTCTCTAGCCCATCCCACAATCCATCTTCAACGCGTATCTCAAGCCACCACAACCCTCTCAGTCGTCACAATCTACAACATCTCTTCCGCACCCTCACCTCCATCCTCAACCTCATCCGCCTCCCGATTCTTGCCAATTTTTAGCTTCGCCATCTTCTCAAGCCCATCCAACTGCTCATCAAATCCCTGATAGATCTTCTCCATCATCTTAAGATTTCGCATCTCGGCGTGATATCCCTCCCAGATCTTCTGAATCTTCTTCAACTCCGCGAGGGCCTCCTCTTGCTTCTCCTTGGGACTTTGAAGTTCCTGGCGTTTACGCTCTTCCTCGTCGAAAATGTTGGGGCCTTCTTCGTCGTCGAGGCAGCGGGGTCCGTCCCAGCGGGCGCAGAGAGACTTGTCCTCTGCTGTTTGGACGTAGTCGTCCGCTGTGGAGGGTTAGCATAACATATTGCGGAGCCGCGATGATGGCTCATGCTATCGGTACGGAATACTTACTCATCTTTGGGACTGCGGGCTGTGCACGAGGCCTACGGTGGTCATTGTAGACCCATTGTTCGTGTGCGACAGCGGAAGCGGCGAAGAGGCCGGCGACTGCAGCCAAGATGGTGGTGAACTTCATGGTGTTGGGAAAATGCCTTGCTGGTTTTGGTCTTGGTATGGTTGGGTATGGAAATGCAGCCGTGAAGACACTTTATGAGAAAGTATGTGTTTAAGAAAAGCGAAAAAATGAAGACACGGGCATTTTATCTAACAATGTGGCCCTGATGATTCCGTGGTACCGCATATCCAAAGTTGCGTACGCGACCAATACATCTTCAGCGTGAGATAATTAAGGCTATTTTACCATAGAACGCGCGAAAGCGCGCCAGTCACAATCACTATTTTACATATCACCGGGCGAGCCGTGTTGGTTGCGGTGGGTCGAACTACTAGACTTCTTTTGTGCTAACAACCGCCGTGCGATCAATTTTTGCGATTTCATCACCGGTGGCTTGGAAAACCATGGTACTATGGCATTCTACTCAATCAACAGCAGTCTTGTAACAAGTGAGAAATAGGTAGGGACAACTTTAGCCATGGCGATTAGTCGTTCTATACGACTTCGCTGCTTGCAAGGGGTCTCAGAGCTCGGCATCATCACAAGTATATCCAGGTAGCACTGTCATAGAGCGCTGTAATGCACAAGCAACCTTAGAAATCGCCCACCATAGTAATTTGTGAGTGACATAACGCGGTTTGAGAGACCTAACGCCCGACACGTAAGTGGATGCAGTCCTGATCTGCCTGTGACTTTATCAGTATACAGCAAATGTCTTGCTTTAATGTTGAAGGTGCAGAGTTGGATACATGTTATTGGCACTTCTGTTATGATATTACTGAAAAAGAAGCAAGCCTGAGATGGAAAAACCTATTCTCGCGGAAGGCTAAGTGAGCAACCTCCATCTTCACTCAAATACCCCATAAGCTATGCTAGCTATGCACGAGTCTCTACGACGAGAAGACCTATATATCTGATGCTCACGTTTAGTTAGCGCGAGAACACGTTGCGCAGAGGTAAACAGCGAATACCACCACTTAGTTCCACATCATGCTACAATTGACAGAGCCGGCACACCCTTCTCAGCTAGAACAATTTCCCAGCAAGCCCATTCCTCACGGCCACTCCGGATCCTCCCTCCTCCTAAAGCACGCCACAAACTTCAGTCCCTTATTCCGCTCTACCTTCTTCCCCTCCTCAGTCTCACTCCTCATCAACTTCACACACTCATCCATGCCCACGCCCTCAACCCCATCCACCGTGCTCCCCTCCTCAAACACCCTCTCCACCCGCTCGAAACACGGATGACGCTCAAAATGCCCCTTCATCCACTCATGCAGATCCTGCACGTCTGTAATCGTATACACCACACCCCCCGGCCTCAATACGTATGCATACTCTGAGTTTAGCGTGTAGGACACGATGCGCGCCTTATGTTTCCGCTGTTTGAAATGCGGGTCCGGGAAACAAAGAAAGATCTTCGATAACTGGTGTTTTTGGAAGAAGTTGGGCAGGAATTTCATGGTGTTTGCGCGGATGCAGGAGGTGTTTTGGTAAAGCTGCGAAGTGGAGGCGTTTTGGACGCGGAGGGCGCGGACTTTTTCTTGCACGTATTCTGTTACTGAGGTGCGGATTTCCATGCCTGTGGGTAAGTGTTAGTTTGGGGGGTGCTGCTTTTGGTCTTGTGGGCGCGTTTTCGTGGATATGGGTGGCGAGGATGGATGGGGTAACTACTGACCGAGTATCAATGTGTCAGGGAATTTGGGTGCGAGAGCGAAGAGTAGACCGCCGAAACCGCAGCCTATGTCTGCTATTTCGACGTTCTTTGATATCGCATTTGCTTCCCGTTGCTCTTCTATGCTCATATCATGTGACTCATTCTGGCCTTCTTCCGTCTCTTTCTTGGGATGTTTGGCGTACATGGGGTATAGACTCGCCCAGTCCATGTCTGCGGGGCTCTTTGGGCTGCATCATGTTAGATCCATTTCTCACCAAAGACTAAGCCTTCTTACTAGGTGAGCGAGTGATCTGAGAATGGATTCGCATGGGCGCGCTGCCTGTAGAACCTCTTCTTGGGCATGGCGCCCTGCTGCTCCTCCGTCTGCAGCGACTTCTTGTACTCCTCGCGCTTTGTGCGCTTTGCTGTTTCGCCTGGCATGGTGACTTTGGTATACGCAATTAACAGATATGCAAGGAAGTAGGGTCAAAGGTAGATGCACAGGTGCTGAGGTAATAGTCGATTAGCTGCGTATCACGAATCAAGCGAGTTTTTCGCTAGCGCCAGGGTCTCTGGTCCACCACATCTGCAGCAACACAGCAAACAGCCGTTCGCGCAGCGATCTACTGCTTGTACGACAAAGCGTAGCGTGACGTAATTCGACCTGCATGTCTCAGAGACGGTACTACAAAAAGCCCGACGACCTTGGCACCCTGCATACGGTCCGTGGGAAGAAAAATCGATACAAGAAGACAATCCCAGGTGTGCGCCCTAATGCTAATCCATATCCAAATGCCCAGTCGTTCAGTCATCAACATTATCGGAATTCAATCGCGCCTTGACACCCAAAATCTTGGATGTGTTTCAAATTGAGCTTCTGGAATCTGGGAAGTGTTAGCATACGACCATCTTGGCTGGGATGTCAGACTCACTTCTCGCTCTTAGCATGGAAGTAGATGCCCTCGATACCACCCGAGAGCTGGTTGAAGCAGATGTAGTAGAAGCCTTCAAAACTCGCGCCGCTGATAGTCCTCACTCGGTGGTCTGGCACGAGGAAGTACTCCTTCCACCGCATGAAGAGGTGTTCCTTCTGGTTCAGCTCCTTCGACACCTGCTCCTGGCGCGCAGAGTACTTAGCAATCGGCTTGTATGCGTCGAACCGCCCCCAGTGTTGCCGGTCGACCTTCTCGTTGGAGCCCCATTCAGGATGCTGTGTAATGAAGGTGTATTTGGTTCCGATAATCTCGCCTTCGAAGTATGTCGTCAGACTTGGGTGGTCTTCAGTTAAACCTGTGGACGTGTTAGTCTACAAGCTCTATGCTGGCACTGCGGAGAGGTGTGCGCACCTTTGATGCGCAAGTATCCACACATGAAGGACTCGCGCATGTCGACATGTTTTATATCGACTTCGACGTCATACTGCTGGCGGTCGGAGGTTTGGGTGCCCACGAAGCGACTGCCGGGCCGAAGGAGGGACGAGGATGTATTGGGTAGGAACTGCGTCGGCATTAGCAACGTATACTTTGCGCATTGTTCTGCATGCATGCTGGTCTGACGTACCCTATGCGCAGGGAATGGGGACGAAAGATGGCTGGCGAGCAGCGAAGTTGGCGCAGCGGGAGAAAGCGGCGAGACGTGAGAGGTGCGTTGCTCTTCAGTGCCGTCGTCTGTCACCGTCATAGGCGTGGGAATGTCTCTGGTGGGCGAGTCTCTGTCGGTGCCGGGCAGCTTGGTCTGGATATCGTCGGGCGCCTGAGTATGCTCGCGCGAGTTTTGTGGAGACGGAGTGGGCTGCTGCATGGGAACATCGGGCACAGCGCTGGCATTGCTGTCGTCGTGGGCGCCCCGTGTCTCATTCAATTCGTGGGTCGCGATAACGCGCGATTCCTCGGGTGGACAAGTCGGGCGGCCAGCGATGCTCTCGTGCTCCACCGGCGAGACCATGGCTTCATCATCCGGCGTCGGCATGGTCCGATAGCAGGTGCGACGAGACTACAGCGAAGGTGCGAGGCGATTATACATGGGACGGGTGGGGATGAATGTGCGATTATACAATAGAGCCTTGCAGGAGCCAGAAGCGTGGCGATGGGGAAGAATGCATGCTGGATGGATGACTTGGACTCGGCGGAGGTGTCTAGGCGGTTCAAAGTTAGTGGGTCACTGAGCTGCACTTACGCGGGGAAGCCGCACTAGTGCAGGCTCACGTGGGATGACATGGGGCCAAACCTAGACACATTGGAACACTTGATATCTAAGCCGTCGATTGTATCTGTAAATTGTATTATCATTCCTTGCCAAGTGGGCCATGTTGACCTTCCGAGCCGACCCGCGCGATCTAACGAATTTTGGTCGAATAGCCCTTTCCTGAGCATCCTCCTCTCATACACCATCGTCCTAGAAGAGATCACGGAGATCAGGTGACACTAGTCACAAGCAGATGTCGTTCCTCCAGTTGACTCCGTACGCCGTCCCTACGTCATTCCACATCGAGCCGCGGTTGTGCCAAAACCCCGTGGCTGTGCGCTGTCGGCAAAAGCAACGCTACTGTGCCTCCATGTGGCGGCGAGAGGCTTAGATAGGCTTGATCTATAACGCTGTAAGTCTTCATGTTCGACGTGAGTACACTGGATCGCATACCTTGAAGTGCAGAGATATTAAAGAAAAGACGAGTGCCTTGAGGTCCTGTACGAGGTAGTAGAAGACGCGAAGGCCTTCTGGGTCTGACGAGTCTTGTACGTCCTGGAGCGAGCCAATTTTCGCAGTCTATTGTCGTCAGTTCACTGGAGGCCATGATAAACGGACCATTCTACCTCAAAGGAGATGTGCTCGCTGCCTAACCGGATTTCCAACTCTTGACGGCCGTCCTTGTTCTTCTGGGGCCACTTTGTGTCATCTTCCCTGGGGATGAGTTAGCAGATGATACGTAACTTCCATTCCATCACATACTTGAGGATCTCACTGTCCTTGACAATCTTCTTGATCTCGGCTACCAAAGCATCGCTGACGCACACTAAACGGCGCGTTAGCAGCACATCACGTCAAGGGCAGAGAATGACTTGCTCTCTTTCCGGATGAGTGAATCATTGCGGTAGTTTGAGTTGTTGGCATAACGGGCAGATGCGCTGCGACCGTCTCCGAGCACTCGAAAATCGAACTCTATACCAAGTTAGACTCGTGATTCTCTTTTCGCAACAGCTTTGCGCACCCAAGAACTCGTGTCCGAATCGGCCTTGGTGACCAGAGCTGCGAAAATGTTAGTAACTGCACGTGCTTGAGAATCCACAGCCTGCATACTAGTAACGCAGGTAAAATGGCTCGTTGGTTGTCATGTTTGCGACTACCTATATCGAGCTCTAACGATGCGCGTATAGGAATTCGCAGTGCTTGGGGTGCGCGTGTCGTGGTGTTGATGTACCGTCGCGGCAGAGGGTTGGAGATCTTGGCGGCCAGACCCCTGCAAGCCTAGCGAGGCGGCCTTCGCTGGAGCGACCATTTCTCGAGCAGACACCTGGAGGTAAACAGAGTCCCGACGAGCACTGCACCCATATCTCCAACAAGCCACCTCTCCGCCCAGGCCACGCCAGTCCTTTCACCCTCCCCGCTAGGCTGCAGCTGCGCCAAACCTCACGACTCCCTCCACCGCCCCCGTCGATCGATACACGTAGCCCATCCCACTTATTCTGGACTCCACGGGACATTGAGGGCTGACGGCCGCACCTGGAGTCACGTTATCGCAGCTGGACACTGTATAACCCGGGGCCATTCGTATACCACATAACCCGGCATCATGGCGGCGTTTCTCGAGAACTCGTACAGTCTGGTAGGAACACCTGGCACGTCGTGGGTATGGGGAAGCTGACGGGCAACACCAGGTGCACCAGGACAATGCCGCCGATGTACCATCACAGAATGAGCTCAAGAATGCTCTGGAGAAGGGCAGCGATGAGCAGAAGATCGAGACTATGGTGCGCTCCTGCAATGGCACTGCCCCGCCTCGCTGAATGCGACCGTCTGACAGCTCTGCAGAAGAAGATCCTCTCGATTATGCTCAATGGCGACCCCCAGGCTGGCCTGCTCATGCACATTATCCGATTCGTCATGCCCAGCAAGTCGAAGCCGCTCAAGAAGCTCATGTACTTCTTCTTCGAGGTCTGCCCCAAGCACGACGCCCAGGGCAAGCTAAGGCAGGAGTGGATTCTCGTCTGGTGAGTTCAAAAGACTATACCACATGAAGCTTGCTAATCGATACAGTAATGCGATTCGGTTCGACTTGCAGGCGCCCAACGAATACGTACGAGGAAACACATTGCGCTTCGTGTAGGATCCTCCACGACACCTTCCCGAGCATTGCTGATAGTCGGAACAGAACCAAGCTACGAGATGCTGAGCTTGTAGAACCACTACTACGTAAGAATCTTGCTCTCCATACTTACCACAATTGTGTTGACACCCCCAGAACCGGTGCGCCAGTGCCTCACACATCGACACGCATACGTCCGAAAGAACGCAACCTTCGCAATCGCATCTATCTTTACACATCTTCCTGAGCTTATGCCAGATGCGCCCGACCTTCTGGTGACATTCCTCGACGACGAGAACGACCCAACGTGCAAGCGCAATGCTTTCGCCGCCCTCGTCTCCGTGAGCCATGAGAAGGCTCTCGAATACCTCAGCACCGTTTTCGATGCCATACCCAACCACGAAGAGCTCCTACTCCTCGCCGAGCTAGAGTTCATCCGCAAAGACGCCATCGTGAACCCATCCAACAAGGCTCGCTATCTCCGCCTGATCTTCGACCTCCTCGAATCGCAGGTATCGACCGTCATCTACGAAGCCGCGCACGCCCTTACCACCCTCACAAGCAACCCGGTCGCAGTCAAGGCAGCTGCTGGAAAGTTCGTGGAGCTGGCGATCAAGGAGCCGGATAACAACGTCAAGCTCATCGTCTTGGAGAGGGTGGAGCAGCTGCGACACAAGAATGAGGGCGTTCTCGACGATTTGACAATGGAGGTCCTGCGCGTTCTGTCTAGTACCGACTTGGATGTGCGGAAGAAGTCGCTCAACATTGCCATGGAGATGATCTCAAGCAGGAACGTCGAAGAGGTCGTCCTGCTGCTGAAGAAGGAGCTCATGAAGACGGTGGACGAACAATACGAGAAGAACCCCGAATACAGGTCGCTCCTCATCTCCTCGATACACTCGGCCGCCATCAAGTTCCCCGAAGTCGCCGCCAGCGTCGTTGGATCGCTTATGGACTTCATCTCCGATGTCAGCAGCAACGCTTCAGCAGTTGATGTCATCTCTTTCGTCAAGGAAGTCGTTGAGCGCTTCCCCGATCTTAGGGCCTCCATCATCGAGCGACTGGTATCGACTCTTGGTGAGGTACGCGCTGGCAAGGTCTACCGGGGTGTTCTCTGGATCATCGGAGAGTTCTCGCTAGAGGCCAAAGACATCCAAGATGCATGGAAGGGCATCCGCTCATCACTCGGCGAAATCCCCATACTTGCTTCCGAGCAAAAGCTTTTGGACGATGCTTCGGAGGGCAAGGAGAGCAGCGAGCAAGTCAACGGACATGCAAAGGCAGCAGCTCCATCTGGATCAAGGAAGGTCCTCGCTGACGGTACCTATGCGACTGAAAGCGCCCTGACTTCCTCCGCTGCCGCCAAAGCGAAACTGGAAGCAGTCAAGAACTCACAGAAGCCCCCACTACGTCAGCTCCTCCTTGACGGCGACTACTACCTTGCCACAGTATTGTCCAGCACTCTCACCAAGCTCGTCATGCGCTATGGAGAGATCTCAAAGAACGAGGCCCGCACAAACGCCCTCCGCGCTGAGGCCATGCTCATCATGATTTCGATTATTCGTGTTGGCCAATCGCATTTTGTCAAGACCTTCATCGACGAGGACTCCATCGACCGTATTATGTCGTGTGTTCGCTCACTGTCCGAGTTCTCGCAAAGAAAGGAGCTCGAGACTGTCTTTTTGGAAGATACTCGCAAGTCTTTCCGAACCATGGTCCAAACAGAAGAGAAGAAGCGCGCCGCCAAGGAGGCTTCAGAACGCGCGAAGTCGGCTGTAAATGTTGATGACTCTTTCAACATCCGTCAGCTGAAGAAGAAGGACGCGGATGGCAGCGATGAGATCGAGCAAGATCTTGAAAGGGCAACAGGAGGCGACACTGCGACTGAGGATCTCACATCCAAGCTCAGTCGCGTCGTGCAGCTTACTGGTTTCTCCGACTCGGTATACGCAGAAGCATATGTCAAGGTACGTCAGCCCGACTTACTGAAGGTATTCACTGACTCACTCTGCTAGGTCCATCAATTCGACATCGTCCTTGATGTCTTGCTAGTAAACCAAACAACCGAGACGCTGCAAAATCTCACCATCGAATTTGCGACTCTCGGTGACCTCAAGGTCGTCGAGCGTCCTTCAACACAAAACGTTGGTCCTCACGACTTTATCAACATTCAAGCAACAATCAAGGGTAGGTCTTTCTCTACTTGCTTTTAAATTCACACGCTTACTTCCGCAGTCTCATCCACCGATACCGGTGTGATCTTTGGAAACATCATCTACGAGGGGTAAGTCCTGCGCATCAACACCCTGCAACAATTGCTAATGTCCTACAGTGAAAAGGGTGTTGACTCCAACGTTGTCATCCTCAACGATGTCCACGTCGACATCATGGACTACATCAAGCCCGCGCAATGCACAGAGACGCAGTTCCGGACAATGTGGACCGAGTTCGAATGGGAGAACAAGGTCAACATTAACTCTAAGGCCAAGACGTTGCGCGATTTCTTGAAGCAACTCATGGCATGCACAAACATGAGCTGCTTGACTCCAGAGGCGTCGATGAAGGGCGACTGCCAGTTCCTGTCAGCGAACTTGTACGCAAGGAGTGTATTTGGTATGTCTTCAAATTCTTTTATACATTGGCAATACTGACAGAAAGCAGGTGAGGACGCTCTCGCCAACTTGAGTATCGAAAAGGAAGGTGACAATGGCCCTATTACTGGGTTTGTGCGCATAAGAAGTCGCTCCCAAGGCTTGGCGTTGAGCCTGGGGTCGTTGAAGGGTCTGAACAAGGTCGGTGTGGCATGATTTGTCGGCTAATAAGCACTGTCACACGTCCGGGGTAGCGGGAGATGGGCGTTCCTACTAAGAAACGGTAGCAAAAGGAAGGTTGGTTGCTTCTTTCGTCTACAGGTCTTCGCGTACGACGCGTTGGGTCGATAGACATGTGGGTGGGATGGATGAATGTTAATGTAGCATTGCCGTATCAAACAGACAAGAGTTCAAATTCACATCCAATATCACAGTCTCTGGGCATCACAGGAAGAGTCGCTTCGTGTCACGTTCTTGGCTGGTTCGTGATTGGGATGCCTCGGTTCGCGAGGGTGCAGGGTCCAACGGGAATGTTTCCTTTTTGTTTAGCACCAACTATCCGCCAGGATCCGCGCCCTGGCGACAGGGACGGTACCCGTGAGCGTGACATGACCGTCGTCAGCGTGCCTCTTGCGCTGGTCTAGTCTCCAACTGACTCCTGGTCTTGCTCTTGCCCTCTTCACAGCATGCTGCGCGTCGTTCCTGCGACATTTCATTGATCATGGCTTCGCTGGCTGGCTCCGACGATCCCTTCAGAGACCCGCTGCTCACTACCAACGCCGCTCCTTCGCAGCCGTCGCCCGACTCGGCACCCACCCAGGAGCAGATGAATGTTCCCGACACACTCGCTGTGGGCAGAAACGCCTCCCTGACCCTTGGGACCGACTCCTTGGTCGTACTAGGTGGGGAGACTACTCGAACATCACAGCGGCGCAACACTCACACAGCACAGACGAAGCACTCCTAGATAGCAAAAGCGCCAGCTGCTGCGGTCTGTCTCTTGCTGGCAGTAAGTGCTAATTCGGCGTCTAGACACCAACACGCGCTTACGCGACGCAGAGAACAAATCCACTCGTTCCATACCCTTTTACAACATCCTCTGGGCCGAGCACTCAGAGGACGGCCATATCACCGTTCAATATGCGCAGAACACATCGAAGAAGGCCGTTCGCCCTGCCATCATCAGCTACTCCCTCGACAAACCCGACAGTCGTATAACGGAGGCATGGATAGAGAAGTTGCTCGATCGCGCATACGGAGCGTCGCAACGGCGCAAACGAATCAAAGTGCTCGTCAATCCGTTTGGAGGCCAGGGTGGCGCAGTCAAGATATACCACAAGTTCATTGCGCCCATCCTGGCGGCTGCGCGCTGTGAGCTCGACGTAGAGAAGACACAGCACAACGGCCACGGCGTGGAGATTGCGCAGAACATGGACATCGAGGCGTACGACGTAGTCGCCTGCTGCTCCGGAGACGGCATACCACACGAAGTCTGGAACGGGCTAGGCAAGAGGACCGACGCAGCTCGGGCGCTCCAAAAAGTAGCCGTCGCACAGCTCCCCTGCGGCTCCGGCAACGCCATGAGCCTCAACTTCAACGGCACCGACGACCCCAGTCTCGCCGCCCTCGCCGTCGTCAAGGGCCTGCGCACCCCCCTCGATCTCTCCTCGATAACCCAAGGCGACCGCCGCACCCTCTCCTTCCTCTCCCAGTCCGTCGGCATAGTAGCCGAAACAGACCTGGCGACAGAACACCTGCGCTGGATGGGCAGCGCACGCTTCACCTGGGGTTTCCTCGTCCGCCTCTTCAAAAAGACATGCTACCCCGCCGACATCGCCGTAAAAGTCGAGTACGACAACAAGACCGCCGTCCGCGAAGCCTACCGCACCGAATCCGCAAAACCACCTCGCAGCACCGACGACCGCGTCCTCCCCGCCCCCGACACCGGTCTTCCAGAGCTGAAATACGGCACAGCGACCGACCCCCTCCCTGCAGGATGGCAACTAATCCCCCACGACCACCTCGGTAACTTCTACGCCGGAAACATCGCCTACATGTCCCCGGACGCGAACTTCTTCCCCGCCTCCCTCCCCTCCGACGGGTGTCTCGACCTCGTCCGTATCCGCGGCGATATCGCGCGGCATACGGCTGTGAAGACGCTGCTGGCCGTGGAGAACCACTCTTTCTTTGATATGGACCATGTGGATTACCAGAAGGTTAGTGCGTATAGGATTATTCCGAAAGGGCAGAGGGATGGGTATATTAGTATCGATGGGGAGAGGGTTCCTTTTGAGGGGTTTCAGGTTGAGGTGCATAGGGGGTTGGGGACTGTGTTGAGCAAGAGTGGGCATTTGTGTGAGGCGAAGGGGGTTTGAGGTGTAGAAGCTGGGGATGATGGCAGAGGTTGGGGTTGGGATTGGACTTGCTGCTGTGTGACATAGATAATGGGCGTTTGCGTTAGGATACCAAGGTTGTTTTGAAGCTGGAGTAATGAAGTTTGGACTGTTGGTCTTGGGAGATGGGTTTCCTTCTCTGGGTTCGCTCAATCAGTGATATTTGCCATTTTACGTCCACTACGCCCGTTTACTTGTTGCGTGTTCAGTTTTACTATAACAATCGATCTTCCAATACCTTAGAAATACTGGGTTTGTATTCATGTGCAACCTCCATACAAGATTGAAGTTCCATCCAGATCCCCAGATATCGGATGACTCACATCCCTATTTACGCCTATCAAATTTTCCTAATCGCCCCCCTTACCTACCCACTCGATTTCTTTGTGCCCCCACATCTCATTGTTCTCGCGCCCAACCACATATCCACCGCCTTTGCCCATCTTCTTATCAACATTTGTGTAACAATATAGATTTTGTGGAGCGAGAAAACTTCATCAATCAGCAACCACAAAAGCTGCTTGGCGCAGCGGAAGCGCGCCGGGCTCATAACCCGGAGGACCTCGGATCGAAACCGAGAGCAGCTAGATGTTGGAAACCTTCTTTTTTGCCCTTTTTTCGCACGGAGGTTAGAGCGAAGTGAGGAGGTAGGGGGTGAGGCTGCAATACGGAGTTGATTTTCTAGACTTTGCGACATTTCAATAGCAGCAGTACGTAGTGTAATATTGTATTAACATTGATTCGTTTTGACAATACCCAAACTTTCCTATGTATTCAATCTTGAATCTCGGTGTTTTACAGGAAGGTAGCATGCGTTCGCTCTTGCGCATGCTGGCAAGAAGGTTCGCTGCCGTCTACGGGTGCCACCTTCCTCTCGGTAAAACTTCGGCGATGCGTCAGCCTGGCCATGCCCCGCTGCTGGTCTTCCGTCGCATGCTCTCCGTGAACTCTATCCTGCACAACACCTCAATTTTTGTTACCTTGTGCAACCTCCGCGCTTCAAAATGTCTACAGACGCGATGGACTTATCGGGACAGCCATCCAATATCCACCCAATCTATTGGGTATTCCGACAGAGCTTCAACTAAGGATCGTTGATCACGTACGCCCGCGGGCTGGTCCGCATGCTAGCTTAACGCGTACTGGTCGAGCTAGATAACCCTGAAGAGCGATCTCACATCACTGTGTAGAACATGCTCAGCTCTGCGTGTTCTCGCGAACCCGCTTCTATATAGGCGCATCGTTCTGCGCCTATGGAGTGGACGTGCGGTCGATCGTCTCAACAAGTCCAATTTCGCAGGCGCTGGCTTACATTACCAGCACACGAAGGAGGTTATCATCGAAGATGAAGCCATTGGCGAGGAACTCTACACCATACATACCGGACGGATCTGCCCACCTATTCTGAATCGTCGCAGTAATGCTACTTATCTAACCGAGTCTGAGAGAGACAACGCCGCCTACGCGTTTCTGCAGACCATGCATCATAATCAATTAGAACGCTTATGGTAAGTTATTGACTGAATGCGCTAGCATTCTATGTGGATGCTGATGAGATCAGGTACCATTCGCGGCGGCCTCTCTCGGCAGTGGTTAGAAATCATTTGCGCCACTACCAGACGAAAATACAAGACCTACGAGTACGCTTGTACACCGATCCTGGATCGCCCGAAGTACTACCCCAGATATTCTGTGGTCTGCGACGCCTCGATCTTTATGTCGATAATTCAACAAGCCTCACTCTTTTGTACGAGAACATCGAAGCCGTGGGCGCCAACTTAGAATCGTTGTCGCTGACAGCACCCAATCCCGTGGATATCGGTATGGAACTGGATGCCTGGTCAATGGGCGAGGAGAACGAATACACCCAATGCACACCTAAGCTCGAAGAGTTCAGGCTGTCCAATTTCGACTATGGCGGCTTTCGAACAGTTCTCTATAATTGTCAACTTTCATCAGCTTGTGCGATTAGAGCTCCTGGGAAATGCCGGCGGGGCACAGTACTTTCTCTAGGAGCTTGCCGAAAGTAGCGAGGAGAACAAGCTTCGTTTGAAGCATATTGCTGTGGAGATTGCGGGTGATATCGCGGAAGACACTGAGCTCGTTCCTCTGCGATTATCCTTGAATCAGATATACAAGGCCTGCGAACCCCTCGAGAGCTTCCATATACACTACCCGCACGGCGACCACGCATCCGACTTTGACATGTACGACTTCCTTAAGCCGTTCACTGATCGCGGGCACAATTTGCAAAGTCTGAGCTACCGCGTCGAACAGTGGAACTGGGGCCGATTGAACCACGACGCTATAGATGTGCTATACCGGGTAAGCCAGGAATCCTTTCGACAAGTGCAACAGCTTGCGGTGTACTTCGAGGAAGCATTGATGCTTGACGGCCTATGGAATGAAGAGGCCAGATTTATGATCCTTATGGTAAGTGGAAGCTATTGCATTCAGAACGGCACCTCGTTCAAGGAGACCACAAAACACGCTAGAGTCTGCGTAGACGTTAGGTCGCTTAGTTTGCACGTTTGCATCGTGCTTCAGGCAGCAGATCCATTAAGTTCTTCCTTGTGTGAGGTGGTGGCGGATCTTGAGCATGACATCTAACATCTGTTAGACGTGGATAGGGGATTTCCGAGAATTACGCTTGCTCCACCTTCGCCTGCCACACTGCGAGCGCATAGGGCAGAGTGAACACGGATGGGACCCCGCACTAGTAGTCCTACAGCTGCAAACCTTCGCAAACCGAGTCTTTGAGTTTCTAGGTCCAGAGTCAAAGTTGGATGCTCTGGTGATCGGTCATGTGGCGACTTTGAGGAACCCAGAAGACCTAGAGCGCGTGCATCGCCGAGGAAACTACGTCTGTACAGTACGGCAGTGTTGGACTACCCCACCTTGAACGCTGAATCGGGGATTCTGGCACTGCGGATGTCGAACCTGCAGTGCGTGATAGCAATCTTGAGCAGGTCTTGGATCTCATCCCGGCAAACGCGCTTCGTACATTCCGGTATGCTCCAAGCAACACTCCCCATCTTATGTTGCCTGTTAACGCCTAAAGGTTCCTCGCGCGACGTCCGCTACCGTGGTGGCTCCATAAGAAGCTCGCATCAAACCAGAGAAATATAACAGACCTCCAAGGCAGTCTTAATGTTGATTTCGACGACATAAATGAACCACCAGTACTGCTTCAACGCGACAACAACTTGAAACGATTGGACGTGCATATCGGCGATGGGCCACTCAACTCCATTCTACTCGACTATTTTCATTCCATCGGAGAAAACCTGGAGTCGCTATCCTTGAGCGCCAAAATTGACACTGACGTTTCCAAGCTGATTCGAAACAACCTCTGGCACCCAGAGCAGCCCAAACTCCCACTGAAAGAACTCAGATTAACTGGCTTGACATTGATGCACATGTACAAGTCCCTGTCAACAATCATCGATTACAGCAAGCTGCAAAAACTCGACCTAGTAGAATGCACCGGATGCTTCAAACTCCTATCGGATATGACAGATGCGATGCCAAACCAGCAGTTCGATCTTACACATGTTGCCTTGAACGAACTTGTGTCTCCAAATGGCATCACCGAACCTGAAGACGAGCGCAACATACATTTGGTCAACTTCTTGAAAGCATGTCCACACATACGTAGTCTCCATGTCGGCCTTTCCAACCTCGACCCTCTACCTCCAGGACTGAAACAATATCTACAGAGCACAGGCAAGGAGCCCACGAGTCTGAGTCTATACTCCAAAACCGAGATAATCGACGCCGAAGAATTCGATCTTGTCTGCCGATCATGTCCCAACCTTGAACAACTCGCCGCGGGGGTGGACGAGGAATTCCTCTTGGCAGAGATGTGGTACCACAACCTGAGGGACTTTGTAGTAAGTCGTACCGACTAATCAACTCACCATGACATATACGTAACCCCCACGGAACTCCCTCCGCCACCTCCCCAAAATCCGTACCCTCCATGTCCACCGCTCCCGTATCTCCACAGTCGGCGGCCTCGGCAACGGGTACGGCAACCGCTGGAACACATCCATGATCTCGCTACAAGTGCAAAAGTTCGCAAACCTCATCTTCGGCGAACTCTACACGACAAACCCGGGTTCCAAGCTCGAAACACTAATTGTGGGACACTTAGGGCCACTCTTAAGGAAGAGCAATGCTGTCGAGCTGGGCGATGGGCGTGAGGTCAATTCGCAGCATTGTCTGTCGCAGTTTTGCTTCGTGAGGAGTCGGCAGGAGGATCTTTTGGGGAAGACGGCGACGACGGGGGTGATGGTGAGTAGGGCTGTGTTGAAGAGTACGCATGATTATATGGGTATCTTGGATGTGGATGCTGGGGTGGAGGCGTGGGGGCAATGGGTTGGTCAGGCTATCTAGCATTTGGGTCACATCCCACGGATTCAATCGATGACTTTTTCTAGCTAGAAGTATACATCTCTCTAGAAGCGGCCTAATCCTTGGGTTTCGATGGCATGTATGTGGCAACTACTAATCTGTAGTACAGAAATAGAATCATGATGCAAAGAATACCGAGCTGCTCATCTTCCCCGTGCGCAATTGTACGTTCTGCCAATCCACTTCCATGAAGATATACACTCACAACCGTGTATTGACTAAACTACTCAACGATCCCTATCTTCATCTCTCCCCGGCCAAACAATCTGCTTCCTCCAAACAGCCCTAACACACCCCACAACCGTCACCAACCAAATCACCACCAACAAAACCGTCATCACGCTCGCCACCCAAAGTATACCCTCACTCTCCAACTCCCTCCCTAACACACCAGTACTAAGCGTAAACCCCACATTCGGAAAGATGAACGCCCACCACGTCAGACTAAACGGCATCTTCCCAACCACCCCCACATTCCCCAGCAGCGCAATGGCAAACAACCAGAAACTAAACACATACAAGAAAATCCCCGTGAAAAGCGCCAAAACACGAAGAATCTCCGGCGCAGCAGGATGCTTCGCAAAGTACCCCTCTGCCATACCATTCGGCACCGCATTCGCCAGCCCAATCAACGCAACAATCGTATACGCGCCACTGCCCACCGGTATAAACAACGCAGGCCGTAACTGAGCTGGCGGAAACCCGTTGTCTAACAAGTTGCGTACAAAACCGACTATAGCAATGAGACTAACACACCACCCAAACCCCTGCCACGCAACCCCACTCACAACCACCTTCACCGCCCTCCCATCCGTCTGACTCCACGCCACAAGACTCGCCACCGTCCCCGTCAACATGGCCGAATACCCCGCTAGGAACAGACTCGGCAGCGGCGGCACAGGACGGACCTTGCTCCATTGAATCAATATCCAATACTGGAACACGGAGTTTGCGAGGGAAGCCCCCGCGTAGATCCAGTAGAGCGCGTAGACGGCGTCGATGAGCCAGGGGTAAGCGGGGCCGTGCGTGATGCCGTAGGTTTGGATGCCGGCGAGGATGACGCTTAGGGAGAGGTAGAAGGAGCCGAGGAAGAAGGATTCGGATGGGTGCTGGAAGGAAGTGAGGAAGTGGGTGCGGTGGTAGAGGAAGCGGAGGGCTGTTAGGGTTGAGAGAGCGAGGAAGAGGAGGATGTTTAGGATGAAGAGGGTTAGGCCGATTTGGTGGAGGCCTGGGGGGTGGGTTTGTTAGTATTGGCAAGCGCGACGGGATGGAAGAGGGATGGGTACCGGGGAATTGATGCGGTGTTTCTGCTATGGCGAGGGCGAGACCGCCTGTGCTCATTGTTGAGAGGAACCAGGCGAATGTGAAGTGTTTAAGGCGTGAGCGTAAACCGATTTTGCGGTCTGGTTGTTTGTGCTCTTGGTGGAGCATCTCTGGCTTTGACGACGGGGTCGTGTCGGATGTGTGTGGGGATGTAGACATCTTTCAGTGATTCTTCTTGTTTTTGCAGAGTGCTCTTGTCATGTGTTCTTGGTTGTTGCTGTCATCGCATGGTGGTTGATGTGGTGACGGTGATGAAAGGTATGCGACAGATGAGACTCCAAAAGCATCACAAAGCCCATCGCTAGCGATAACTTTGCGCGCAGCGTACGATTATCAGTCGGTGTAGCTTCCGATAGGATGTGACCTTCTCCCCAGAGGTTATGATCGTGAGATATCCAACGGAGAAGTTGCGGATCGGTGGTTGGGCATGACGCGCAGCGGCTCTGTTTCCGGTCGTCCTATTCCCGGAGCCGCACAAGCTTCCTCGTACATCAACCGACGCAGCTACATCTTCACCAGAAATCTACCGAGTAAATGCATCGAACTGTTTTCTTTCAACTATTAACATTACTTGCGAAAGTTCACGCCACCTGCTGAATCCTATCCTTCGCCTTATCCTTCTTCTCCTTGGCCTTCCACTTGATATCCCCCGGCTGCGGCCACCTGTAATTAACAGGCGACTCTCCACCCACGAAGATGCAAAGATCATACATCAAGCCACCACATAGCGCACCAGCAATAGATGCGCCCCAAGAACCATACGCCCAGTACCCGTTCTCAAAGGCCGAATCGTATCCAACCCATAATCCGATGAGCCTTGGACCAAGATCGCGCGCTGGTGAAATACCCAGACCAGTGTTGTAGCCAAGCCCGATCATGGTGACGAAACCTGTAAGACCGACGACGAAGGCTGTCATGCCTTGGCCTGGAGGCGAGTTCTGGTCGTCTCCGAGTGCGAAGATGACGCAGACGAAGATGGCCATGTAGACGAAGTCGTTGAAGAAGCCGGTTGCGGTGGAGTATATGGGTCCTTGAGGGAAGAGAGCCTTGCCGGTCATCTCCAGGGTAAGACCGGGGTCTACTGCATGAATAGCGTCTGCGTAAAGGCTAACACAGAGTTAGCAACTGAGGCATTTTGATCGGCAGAAGATTTGAACTTACGCGTAAGCTACAGCGCCGGCACAAAGTCCCGCCAGCAACTGCATGAAGATGTAGACGATGGCCATCTTCCAGGGGAAACCGCGGTAGACGGATAGCGAGATCGATATTGTGGGACTGAGATGTGAACCGCTGACACCGCCGCCGAGGTAGATGCCAATCATGACTGCGAAGCCCCATCCCCAGGCTTGGGTCTCGAAGCTGCCGGTGCCTTCTTGGGACGTGGCGACTGACAGATTGACGCAAAGTCCAATGAGGAGGTACACAAACGTCTACACAGTATTAGTAAGGTTGCTGTCAGAAGAGTTAATGATACGTACGGCCAGGAACTCGGCAGGTGCCTGTGGATACTTGGCTCGCAGCCTAGCGATAGGGTTGCGATATTGGTTGTAGAACTCGCGTTCTGCCTCATGCTCCCGTTGTTGAATCTCTTTCTCTTCCTGCTTAGTCTGTGAAGACATATTCGTACCGTGTTCCTGGAGCGGTGGAAGACCGTCTTGCAAACCAAAGTGTTGCTGCTGCCCACGTCCATCAGAGAACTCCAAGCCGTGCTCGTTGACGGGCGCACGTTCCTGACCTTCATGATGTTCATGGCTGCGAGCGTTTGGTTCTTGGTTGCGGCCAAGCACCTGATCAGCTTCACTTGTTGGCACGCGTTTCATATTGACATTGCGGCCGTCGACTGTTGTCTGGAAATGCGAGGGGTCGCGTCGTTGGTGTGGGCGACCGACGCCGTCTAGCGTCTCCTGAGAGTCTTCTGAATCTTCTTCCAAATCTGTCCACGTTCTAGTTAGAATGATTACTCTTGAGGGAGGTCATATCAAGGGAGTATATGAAGACTTACCTTTGCCATCATGAAAGCCTAATCCATCTTGTCGAGCAATACCATCTGCATCCCCTTCATCGACCCGGTACAAAGACTTGCGCAGGTCGCCTCTTCCCCACCACATACCCTTACGTACAGTGCGTGGCAAAGGCGCGCCCAAACCGAAGACTGGTTTTGACTTTTGCTCATTGTACCAAGGGTTCAGTGAGAAGTAGTCGTTCTCCACGTCTACAGTCTGCTGTTGCTTCTTCTCAGGTCGTCGTGGCGGCTCTTGCCGGACATTCTCACGAGTTGCACGGCTCTTTCGGGCAGTGGGCGTGTTTCTGATGGTGCCCATTTGGGTCATACCAGTTGCAGTAGTGTTGGCGCGCTCATTCTCGGGTCGTGACTCCAAACGGGCAGTGTCAAGTCTCCCTATACTTGGTGCATTGGAACGACTTTGTGCCAACCCCGATGGCATGCGCGTTGCCGAGGGTTGCTGTCGTGGCTCAGGCGTTGCTGCAGGTCTTTGGGATGTAAAGTAATCTGACTGCTGCCCTGTGGAAGGTTAGTACATGTATTTCTTGATGCCAACGAGAAAGAAGCTCTGCTGGCTTTTCGGAAGGAAATTCGAGCTCGTTGAATAACTCACTGTTGTCAGCTTTGTTCGGCTGTTGTTGCGACATGTTGTATGCTCGTTTCTTCCTATGCCTCAAGGCAAGCAGACCCTGACAACCTTATATCTGATGTGTACTGGACGTGGGAGTAAAACAGGGGCGTGGGAGGTGCCAAGTGTACAACATGGTGAAAAAGTAGTCCCGCGATTAAGCCATGGGAAAGTGAAGAATTCCATGCAAAACGTCATTTGCAGGGAAGCTTTTGCCTAGTAAGCCCACGTCCCCATTATTTCGGAGCGACTCTTGGTGACGCGGAATCACACATTCCAATCATTTGGACGGGTTTTCATGTTGAGTGGGTGCGTACCGTTTCGGGAACTCAGCTTTAGTGGGTTTGCCCTGATAAGAAGGGTTCCATCGCGATCCTCAGGGTTGCGGCAAAGTGTGGCGTCGTGCGGATCGTGAGATTGCTGAACATCGGCATCTTTACTGTGGGTCGCATGCGCGTTCCGCGGAGCTGAAGCCTTTGTCGTCGACATAATCGGAGCGACAGATTGACATTATGGTGTCTTGTGAGCGAAAGAGTCATCAAAAGTCTCCTCGGAAAGTGTAAGAGGAATTGATGCAGGAACCGCGTAGGGAGTATTTAGGTGCAGATCATCCGAGAGTCTCGAGAACAGCCTCGACCAATAAGCACAACAACGCTCAAGAGGCCGCAACAACCGGCAGCGGCGATGCCGACTCATGGCCTACCTAGACAATCACACAAGCCACACTTCTCTGACAGAGAGTTCGGGACCAGAGCCGATGGTGCACCACGATCATGCAGGTGAAGACGCACTATTGCATCGTAATGTGGAGACTCGGCCAAGATTTCTACGTTTGCCCGATGATTTCCCTGCGACATTGCCGTCCCTGGGGGACTGCATTGCTGTATTTACACATGCACCATCCATGCACTGAAGAGCGCCCCAGTGTCTGCGTAAGCTCCCGCCGCCGCGGTGTGATAGTACAATGTTGAGCCCGATCCCAAGGTCCGAACATTCGCATGGTGGGTCGATGGGCAGCCTTGGGCAGATCCCACACCCCACGCCCAACAGCTTACAAGTATCTATGCAGTGACTTCTATCTACGTCCTCACGACACTGCCATGAGCTTGTTCTGCTCCTGGGCCAACGTCAGGCCTTCCGGTGCTTGTCGGAATAGCACGATCTCGGATTGCTTAAAGTATCGACGGGCGTCTGGAGACAGGTCAGTCACAGTTGTGTAGAGATGTGCGTATGTCATACCTTCGTCGATGAGTACTAGACTCAAGTAGTATCGGGTGGAGTACTTCTTGTTGACTTCGCGGAAGGTGGGTGTTAGGTCGAAGCCTCCGAGGAACAACCTGATGGGAATTGTTTCACCTTGACGTCGTCAGCAATGCCTGTCGCAACAGAGTCATCGTGCTTACCTCGCGACGGTGAGCCGTCCATGATCTCGAAGCGCACCAGGGTCTCGCTCTCGTTGTACTGGTTGGGAGCAGCCCCCGTTGTCTCTCTTCTTATGATGGACAACTCCATGTGCTTGATCTTTAACCGTACCAGCAAGAAGTATATCCTGCCGACGATCACGTCCTTCAAGTGGTATTTCGATTTCGAGTACTCGAACTCAATGTGCAGGCAGTCTTCTATACCGACGTCCATCTTAATGGAGCTGTTGGTCTCGGGCGGTATCCGGTAGGAGTAGACCCATAGGTCCTTCTCTCTAACTACGTCTGCCATCCTCCGCGACACGGTGACGCGCACAAAGTAGCGCAGCTTGACGTTGATGCCATTGTAGGATTCGTATTGCTTCTCGACGTTCTTGAAGTTGAAGTCGAAGGTCTGCGGGTGCTGGAGCTCGCCGGGGGCTGCTAGCTCTTGGCCGAGGGAGAGGAACTCGTAGTGGTTTCCGCGGTCGAAGAACATCTCTGGCGCATTATGTCAGCACTGCGCGCTGAGATATAGCTATGGTGAAGCTTCGGGACGGCGGATGCCTACCAATGGTGCCGATGAATTGCACCTTGATGCCCGTGTGCTCGAGGCGCTTGCCATCCTTGGGCCTTACGGTGACCTGGCCCTTGACTGATTCGCCATCCAGGTACAGCGGCACCTTCTCTTTGCGGTTCTTGTCGAGCTTAACATCAACGGCGGAGCGGTCGTCGAGGTCCTCGAGCACAATGTCGATGTCGACCGGGGTGGAGAAGAAGTACGACATGCCGGGCCAGAGAAGTGCCGGTCGATTGGCGCGTGTTCGGAAGCGGTATCAGAAGCACTCGTCGCGTCGGTGGTCGGCGGCGCTCGACTGGATGGCCGTGGTGTGGAGAGCTGCGCCCCAGATCCATGGCAACAGCTGATGACGCTTGTCCCCGTTGAGCCCGTCACGTGAGCGCATCCTGCCCCGCCTTCCCCGATGCCTCACCAACACCACCTCGTCATATTCACCCCCAGGTATCCTTGTTTTACTCTTCACTGGGTCCACGTCACGTCTGACTGCTGCTCTCGTCGGGTCAGATGGTCCTCCACATGCCCCTCCCGAGCCTGCGGAGATAGGCACCTGCATACGAAACAGCAAATATGCACTCGTTTGGCGGTGAGCTGCACACGAGCAGCTGCAATATCGCGGCGTCGTGACTGATCGGGTCTGCCTGCACGTCTGGCTCAAACGTTCTCACCCGTCTGGAATATCCGGAGCATCTGCCGGATGCCGCCCCAAAGACTAATCGACTAATCGCAACTCAAAGACTGTTCGCAGCCTCGATCCTCACCGGCCCGATGCACTTTCAGATTCCTCGCCTAACCCCCACGCGCCATTATCAAACAGCTTCGTACCGCGAGTCAAAGCGGTGAGCTGGAGTCTATTTCTTTCAGGCAGAAACTCAGTCGAATCGCAATCTACTCAGCAGAGCGCCCTGCAGTTGCCTGGCGTTCAGAACTCAAGTCTGCGCTGGCATGTCGTGGTCACCGGCATGCGGGATGCATAAGTACCTGAGAAGGACTGGGGTCCTCATGCGGGGAGACTGATGCGCTACTCGTCATCCCACACGCGACAGGTCCACTTTCAAACGCCGAAGTTCTCTCTCTCCAGCCCCGGCTTCGCGGCTGTTGCAGCCGGCTGGGCCTGTTACTGAGACTAGCTACACGTCCTTGCTCGCCATTCGCTGTTTGCTTTTCGGAGCGTGCCATCGTGGCTTGGCTCCCAGAATAACGACAAGCTCCATCGCATTTCACCCTTGCCGTTGCCGTCATGGCTTGCGGGAGAAATTTCCAGACCAGTATTCCAAGGTCCCACGCCTTAAAACGCACCACGCCCCAGCGCGAATCGGGGCGCCGTTGATTGCTTACAGTCTGCATACACTTATATTTGGTCCCGACCACATCGCAATATACTATATTAACCCTACCGGACACCCGTCCCTTTGTTTTCGGGAGCCCAACTCAAGCATTAGCGTCATACAAGAGCCTCACGTACTACAAACACTTATTTCCACAACAGTTTGACTCAAACTTCAAACTCTATACCACCATGATGCAAACCGTCGATCTATCGCAGCCAAAGCCCATACAATATGCATCACCACCTACACCACCGGCTTCCAATACAGGCTCGCCATCCAAGTCCATGGCTGTCATGAACGAGACCGAGACCGCCAAAATGACCATTTCAACCCACCACCACATCCTCATCGTCACCGGTCCAGCAGGGTGCGGCAAGAGCACTGTTGCAAAGCACCTCTCGGACCGATATAGATTTGACTACATCGAGGGCGACGAGGTTAGCCAGTTCCCTGTGATCTATCTAATGCGTACTGACGTCTTTGCAGTTCCACCCAAAAGCAAACATCGACAAGATGGCCGCCGGCATTCCTCTCAACGACGAAGACCGATGGGACTGGCTCATCCTTCTACGAGACCAAGCCATCACTGCACTGAAGAACGGAGCCAAGGGCGTCGTCGTCACTTGCAGTGCGCTCAAGAAGAAGTACCGCGACGTCATCCGCACAGCCCGCCTCTACGACGAAGACCCAAACGCCAACGTACACTTCGTTTACCTCCGCTCTGACATGGAGACCCTCCTCGCCCGCGTCCGCGCCAGACAAGGCCACTACATGAAGGACGCCATGGTCGAGAGCCAGTTCGCTGCGCTGGAAGAGCCCGATGAGACGGAGTGCAAGCAACTAAAGGACGTGGAGATCATCGACGTCAAGGGCAGCATACAAGATGTTCAACTACTGGCCGGTGCTGCTGTAGACAAGGTCCTGGCGCAATAGCACCATGTTCGACGCATCAGCCGGCTCTGATCTCACCTTTCGTTACGTCTTCCTTTTTTTCTGCTCGGTGTTTGGCAAGTGCGCAGGAACGCTGCGTGTGGGCTGTGACTCCTTGGTTTACTTAGTTACGGCGTTCTATCTATATCACTATACCCTCGCGAGACGGGACAGCATACATGGTTCGCGGAATTGAACAGTTTTCACTTCATCGTAGCAAACATGCAATTTCTTGATCCCTTTGACATGGGTTGGCCGTACTACCCATTGCCCACATGAACTATCGTGCTTACCACTGCCGATCTTTTCTCCTGCATCCCGCGAAGCCTGTCGGAAAGATCTTCCTCTTCCTAATATTTCTCGGTTACTTAGTGCCCGTTTGCACACGTGTAAGTGCGATCGTACGTCCGCTGTGTGCGGATCTAGGTACGCCGAACCCCGCTCTTCGTTACCAGCAAAGGATGCATGACGGCCTGTGGCTTGTGTGGCTTGGACCACCTCACGGCGATGACTAGATTTCCACTGCTTTAACGACTAGCTTCAGTCTTGGCCCAACATGACAGCTTTACGATTGATGCTTTCGTTTAACTACTTCGTCTTGTAGATTCGGCCTACACCATTATGCTAGCGTGTCTTTTTGCCTAGATTACCAGAGTTGGAGGACGCATAGGTGAAATCAGACACTGTCAACAACGATCACGGTTAGCCACGAGTATATGAGCGGTTGCGATGATTGCGTTGGAAACGCTTTAAATGACTCAGCGCTGGGGATGAGTCTGACAACAACGTACAGAGACACGAGACTGGGTAGTCGAAGTGGTCATGAGCACACTTCGAAACGCCAAAATGGTTGAGTACTAACACCATCTCTAAACCACCTTCGCAAGCCCTGGCAATGAATCCGAACGCTGTGGAAGCGATAGCCGCGTCGACCCCAATTCTCTCTCAACAGTAATATCGCCTCCTTTCCCTCCCCCAGCCATAGGCCTCAACTCCGTCTCACTACCCCACTCATTACTTCCCTTCCTATCCTGCTCACTGCTCGGCAACCTCAACGTAGTATTCCGACTCCACCTATGCATACTATACACACGACGAGATTTGCTTTGTGCTCCCGATGAAGCTGGTTGTGCAGAACCATATACCGGCGGCGCGGAAGGACCCGGCCGCGTTCTCCCCATGTTGCCATTGAGCAAGTATCTGAACGCCGGCAGTGTAGCCACAATAACAGATACAGACGACTCGATGTGACTCCACATGCTGAGCAACACCGGTCCATCAGCAAGGGTTGTTGGATCAGGGTTCGAAGTCGCCTTTGTGACTTGAGCAAGTCGCGCGAACGCGAACGCGATGATGATAGTGCCGAGGGAGAATATGACTGCCAGGCCGAACTTTTGTTGGGGCGAGACTTGTAGTTTGCGCAAGAGGTTCAGAGGGAGGAGCATGATGAGGGCGTCGGCAACGACGTCTGCGCTCGTGGCGAACTTGATGGATGCGTCGGCTCGGATGAGGTCTTCGGGGTCGCTGCATCCGGCTGTGCGCGTTAGAAGGGTTTGCAGAGAAGAATGGGGGTGGGGTACTGACTTGCGCTCCAGTATTTGGATAGGGGTCGGCAGGTTAGGAAGTTGGAGGCGATGCATGCGAGATAGAGGAGTAGGACTAGTACAAAGGACGCCCACCATGCACGCATGTATACTGGCAGTCCGATGACCAGACGTCTGAAGAAGAAAAGAATGGAGAATTTGGCTGGAGTGGCATATCAGTCAGAGATCCTGCTTACTACTTTAGCAAGCCAACTCACCAGCCCACAATGTAGTCCAAAACAACAGCATCTGGCTGAACATGAACTTTAGCGAAGTCCGCGTCCTCTCGATAAATTCATCCGGCGGTAGTAGCAACGGCGTAAGCGGATCCAATATAGCCGCTTTTGAGTATTCCTGCGCAAGAAAGAACTGCAGTAGTAAACACGTGATGACTGCGGAGAGGGCAGTCAAGGAGAACAAGCCGAAGAAGACGAAGTAGTCGTCTGCGAAGAGTCGGTGTTGAGACTTCCATCGTAGAAAGCCCCTAAGGATTGTGCGGAGGAATGATACACCCCAAGGGGTCCATATCAATTGCTGTCTAGGAGTTGTAGCTGTGAACTGTATTGTTGTTGTTGGACTTACCATCAAATCGGTGTAACTGAGCGCCATCGTGATGTTGACTCAGTATCTCCACAGTAGGGAAGACAATACTGCAACCCAAGTGGCCTACTGCGAGATAGAGATATGTATCTAGTCTTAACATTGTCGTACATCTCGCCTTCGTCACTATCCCAACACCAAGACTCGCATTCGCATCCGGCCCCATCCTGGTTTGCATCGCGAAGCCTGATCTATGAGACGGTGGGTGCCGCAGATACGCCGTTTCCTACCTGGTAGTCTTCGATGATTCCGTCCGTACATGGCGTGCACACGATGGCGAGCCAATTCCAACCAGTTGATACAGGTTGAATGGCGAAGTACAACAGCGCATGCAGGTGGCGGCAAAATTACGGCCCAATTCTTCCAAGCTGACCCTGCATGAGATGTTGCCTTGCTCGCATTACGAACATCCTACTGAAGTAGCACCTCCGGTACGAAGACCTGGTCTCGGCCCTTTTCGAAGCCATCGTCCTAGGTTCCGCAGCGGCCGAACCGATCTCGCGGGTGGACATGGTGCGATTATGTTGTGTCTTCCTTCCCGATTAAGCTTATCGTGAAGCATGTTAATGAAGACGTTGGGCGATACACCGTATATTCATAGGGAATGCATGAGTTGTATTGATAGAGTTTTGTACACGATCGCCGAACCAGATCGTTGAGATCGTTCAGCATGCATCGGCGACCTTCCAACCACCAGGCATGAGGTTAGTATACACCTTGAGAGGATCGTACTTGGTACGAATAGTCTTCAGCCTCCTCAAGTTGGCAGCGGGATAGCTCTGGAAAATCGGCTGGCCCTTCCCGGCGTCATTCATGTAGAGATAGTCAGCGCTATACGATCCCCCGCGCAGCAAGCTGTTTATGCTTGCTGTGATCTCATCAGCAGCAGCCTGCACTTTCGCGTCATCGCTCGCCGAAGACCAGGTGAAGTTCTCCACCATCCAAAAGAAGGGTGCTTTCGAGACGTCGATGCCTTGAGGGTTGCCTCCAGTCTTCGCGCTGTGCGAGAGGAATGCCTTCGTGATGGGCTGGAAGGTAATCGAGGCCTGGAGATTGGCAACGCTAGGCAACTTGGCGTTGACGCCGGAGACGAAAGTGTCGTGGATGAGCTGCACGGCCTTTCGGTCAACAACGGACGAAAGGGTGCGGAATTCCTGGCGCAATCCTAATGGCTGCAGGGCATCTGTAGCTATGATGTAGTCTGACAACGGCTGCAGTGCGTATGAATCAGCGACTGGGGTGAGCTTTGGCGCAGTGAAGTTTTCGAATACTTTCGGGTTGTCAGTGACGGAGTGGTAAAACTTCGCAGCCGCATAGACAGTCATGTTCCCCGCTGGGAAGGTAAGAATAGTCGGAATGATGGCAGCTTTTGGGTCAGACCCTCAATATTTCCCAAAGTTGTACACGCCGTCCAGGTAGCCGGGTGCTTGAGTTTGATCGAATTGACCGATACCGACGTGAACGTCGCTGCCCTCCACCGGTCGCAAGTCAAATCGTGTGACGATGCAGAACGAACTACCGCCGCCCCTCAATGCCCAGAAGAGATCTGAGTACTTGTTCGTTGCCGTCGCCTCGACAATTTGACCACTTGAAAGCACACACTACCCATTCTTAGTCATGTATAACTTTATACAGAAGATCGGCGACATACCTCATACTTCATAACATTGTCGGAAGCGAATCCGTACTCCGATGAGTAGAAAGAGATGCCGCCACCGAGTAACAAGCCGGGAACACCAACGTGGCCCACACGACCACCGACAGCTGCGAGCCCAGATGGTTTCAGATAGGCGTAAACGTCTCTCCACCTGTTTCCAGGTCCAACAGAGACGACAGACTTGTCTGAGGAAAGTGACAAGGTCGTCAGATTGGAAGAAGAGATTAATACGCCGGAGCCATCAATCCCGTTGTGACCAGGGATTGGCATATGCCCTCCACCTCGCATGGCAAATTTAGAACGCGTTAGGGTCATTGTGGTAACCGCATAGGCAATTTGCTCGGCATTCTGGGGAACGAAAACGCATGCAGGGCTGCTGTACACCGTGGCTGACCAGTATGCTGTGAATCGTTAGTGAGTATCGGCCCGAATTTCGAAAGCATTGTCATACGCTCTTGTGTCTCGTATGAGTAGCCCGAGGATCCAGGTGAGAAGGTACTGTCGGAGTATTTGGACTTCAACTTGGAGCAAGCGACCTTCTCTGCACCAGAGAGGCTCGTTGCCGGACTCGTTGCGATGGACGGCGCGGTAAACAACAAAGCTGCCACACCTGCTAAGAGTACCATACTGAATTCGATGAAAGAATGGCAAATGTTGAAGCCAGTGGACAGCAAAGGGCGAATGTTGTTGATTATCAAGGATTTCGGACGGATATAACCATCCGCCTGCGCGGCTGAAATATATCTGGATGCATGTTGATCCAACGCACCTAGATCCCTCAGGTACCGGGGCTATTACCCATTCAGGAAGACGGCAGGGCTGTCTGCATGTCCAATATGTGAACTATGCAGTGGATCGCAAGCGAAGCAGTCGTGCCACTCGTGTCTACGAGGTGAGTCGTTCGTCGTAGCTCGAATGTCAGAACCTGAAGCCGGGAGGATACCGCAGTCGAGAAGAGAAGACGCACGTGAGACCATAGATCGAACGCGATCGTGGGTTGAAGAGGCAAGGGATGCAAGGATGAGAATACGCGCTGTACGGCGCGGGCTGGCTAACTCAAAAACGCCCCTCATCCTCCGATGATCATTTAGCGCGAATGCCAAGGCTGACGACGTTTGTAGGCTCGATCCCGAGGTTGCTCTTACCTAGGTAACGACACATCAACGCTTCGCTCTTCGCATGCGAACATCCATCCTCTTGGTCTCGAATACTGACGCTCCATTATCACTGCACGCATCAATTCCATGACAATGTCAACGAGGCACAGCAGACGCGTCTTGAGCGGCCCAGCTTCGCCGCAACGCGTGACGTCACAGCCTTGAGCGGGCATATGTCTTTCGGATGATAGCCATCAACAAGAGAAGGAGGCTGGATTATGCAATAGACAAAAATTGAGGGAGGCCTCTTGGGAATCGTATTTGGCGTCGAATCAGCCTGGGACTGTTGCCTTGCGCATCCTGGGTTTGTACTACACGCACGCGCCACACAGCCACACCATTGGGCCATTCACTGACCAGAATGGCGCGTGGTCTTCCAATGCATGAAGCAGAAGAGCATATCAGATATGGCGTGGACATTTCAGTGTACTCAGCCTTGTTGTTTTGCAGGCAGCGACGCCCATGTCGCGGCGAAGTGATGAGGCGGTGGGCAATCGCTGCGCAGCCCTGGAGTGCTCAAGTGAAGGTGAAGTCTGTTTGCCTGTTTAAGACAACAACAACGCGCACAGTCGAATTTCACCTCTTTCAAGCGAGCATTTTTTCTTGCTTCGTACAGAGATTTCGTCTACCGTCTTTCGTCTTTCCCCCCACCTTGGACTACCGCTCTCGCTACCACGACACCACACTTTCTCCTCATCGTTTTGGTCGCGACTGTTGCTATTCCATCTTCGCTACTGGGTTAACAACCTGAATAATATTCTGCATTCTGGATAGACACACCGGATAGCTGAGCCCATTAGGTAAGTGGGGTCCGTCGCGCCTGCAGCGCAAGTGCTACTCGCACAGCAGATACCTGTACCCTTAAACATGCTCCTTTTCAGGCAAGGTTACACAAGCTGACTCATGTATCATACAGTGTACTCCCTGTGGTGTCTACACCATGACATCGGCAGCGGCTACGGCCTACGCCTATCACCATTTGGTACTTCCTCCGAAGCTTCCGCAGCAGGACGACCGCAACGCCGCGCACGACTTGACTCTTGTCGATATCGCCATTCAAGCCCTCGAGTCTCTAAAACCCTTTGTCAACAGCGAGCATGTCGGCTCAGTCGAAGTCGCCGTCGCAACGGTTTATATATAATTCGTATTTTAGTAATAGAGTATCTGTAGAGCTGTAGGTAGTTAGCGGTCGCGCAGTAAAGGTAAAGGCAAGTCTCGGCAATCTCGGGATGATATTACATGACAACGTGACAGTCTTTATACTTTTAACCTAGTACTTGCTCTCACATGCTTATATATACTGCAATTTGTTCTTCTTTTCTCTTACACTTCTTTATTCCACCCAACGCCCCCCAAGAACTGCGCGCTTGATATAGCACTATTGTCATAGTAAGCGCGCAGTCTTCGGGGGGACAAACTATACTTACCTCGCCTCACCATCGAAGCAATCTGAGATATGAAAGAATAGCGGCGTTGCTGTCAAGACTTGTTCGAGCAAATTCGACTTCGACCTTCATGAGCTATCGCTAATGAACAAGGCAACTGTGTACTCATGGCAGCTTTCAAGAAAGTTGACACACAGCACATTGAAGAGATCAGCTGTCGATGTCGACCTCGACATTGTTGGATCGACCTCAAGAACTATCGCTGTCATTACGACTCAAAGGGCTCCAGGCTTTCAGCCCCAGATTACCGAAAAGAGAGAAAGATATGGACGGACACCGCGATATTGCGCACACTGGTATGTTTACCGACTTTCTCATGGAAGTCATCACTCCGACAGATGTACGACGCAAAACAAAACACACTCGTGAAGAGGTTCTACGGAACGACCGCCTCGCAACGTGTCGACCATCCGCCACTACGGCTCTTGCTACGCTTGTCTCTGCAGCTGCGCTTCGCTCGCGAAGCAACCGACACTCTCGATTCGGACGTTTTGTAAAGAGCGCTTATGTTCCTCCTGCCAGCACGACTACTCGATCTAGTCAAACAACACTGGGATCGAATGAATAGCGAGACGATCCATAAAGTCTGAGGTCCTCAAGCACACGGAATACCTGAAGCCAGGCTGGGCGCGATATCTCCACGGCGAGATGATGAACGCTCACGTATCCATCAAGCAGCATTGCAAGGATCAAGTGGACAAATCTCGAGCGAGTGCCGAATTCAGGGTCATCGCCAGTTCCAAGCCTGGAACTGATCTCGACATGTCCTTGTCAGGCTTAGATGTCTTCGTATACGATATCAAGTCCCGGAAGCTGGAGGTTGCGCCTTCTACATTCTCGTCCACGCATGAGTATGCGTTCTCTCAAAGTACTGAGCTACCAACTATCCGGCAGCTGTCAAGTGCTCACGAAGTTGAATGCTTTCGTCTGGCTACTTATGAGAGTTGGATCGAGCACCATCTTACCCGCTGGACAAGTTGTCAGCTCCACGATGGGGATGCATGTAGCAGACTCGATGATCTCATAATCAGCCACATCGAGACCGATAGTGGTACTCATGCTCGCATTCCTCGTGAGTGGTCCATTATGTACATCACTGTCAGTGAGTTATGGGTTGCACACGATGAATTCTTCTGCAAAACCTATCCCTCGCTGGTCGAGTACGATCGTGGGGTACATCCAGTACAACTCCGATGTTTCGCCCTTCCTCTGGACAGCCGACTACAACGCCTACACGCAGCCGGATGCCATGCTCGATCATGGCCGCCGAACGGAGGGAGAGGAAGTCCTCTATTTTTTGGGAGTCTAGACATGCCTCATTCTTCGCTGTTAGGTACTATGATCAATGCCAGCCACCCCAGGCTGCACTATCGAAATTCGGGTTGATGCAACTGCCAACCGTGACGGAAAGTTTGAAGAGCCGATGAACGTCAGGCGTCAAGACATCGAATACATTTATCATTACGACGCTGTCAGATGTTGGCACTTGACGGTATCATAAGACTCTCATCAAGGGAACACAAAACAGAGGCATCCAATGAGGTGCGACGGATATGCGGCCCAGGACAGCGGAGACCACTCATGATTCAGCCTTACGCGCGGCCGCCCTTATCCAGATTGCTCGAAGCAAACGCAACTATCTCCGAGTTGATGATCCCTGAAGCACACAGCGAATGGTACGGCATATTAGCGTATTCCATCACCGCTCTTGTCGGCTACAAGGACGCAAATCTGCCACAGCCATCCTGCTCATATACGCTCGACAGCCACCATGGTATATCGCATCTACTCTCATCTCGGTATCCTGTTCAACGCATCATTCCGCTCTCGCGAGTCAAGAGCCACAATGTTGCCCACTGGAAGGTGATGGACGCCAGTCCTCACCTGATCGAAGACGACGTCTATCTAGACAACGCCCAACAACACGAGTAACACGGCGCAGCGCAAGGTTCTTTAATGAAACAGCCAGGCTCTACAAACAAGGTATTAAGTATTGAGTCCACAGCCTGCCGAAGCGATCAAGAGCACTGCAATGCTTCATGCATGGACCGCTCAGTTCGCCTGATGGCTTGCCAGCGGACAAAGACATCCGTAAGTCCCAAGCCTGATTTACCTTTCGTCTAGGACTTCAATTCTTAGCTGTGGCGTAATTTGGACGCATTCGCATGGGTTTTGTTGCTGGTTCATCAGCGCATATCACAGCGAACGCCTCCAGGATACGTTATGGCAGGGCACAAACCACGACCTTGTCAGCTCCTCCACACGCTATGATAGATCTCACTGACACCTCGGATAGGCCCGTTTGTCAGACTGTCCGGCTCACTTCTCGATCGACAAGTACAAGGCTCCGAGTGCGCTACCCCTCAGGAATAACACTGCTCGTTCGAACATCTTCGCTCAGCTGGCGAACCCATCGGTCGGCTGGACAAGAGTTGAGACGCAATGTGTAATTCTCCAGGCTGTACATCAGGCCGGTCCGCCAAGTCAGTGCATCGAGCGGTCAGGCCACTCTATCCCTACAGAAACCTGGTTCGGCCATGCTATGCTTGAGCAGCTTGAGAGTAGCCTGTGCCGCATCTGGGAGAACAGAGGGACATATCTTCACCGATCACCTGCTTGGATCTCGCTTCAGAATTACGGTACGTTCACCGTTCACCTTCACTTTTCGCGCCGCTAACATGAACGAATTTTCAGGTCCAAGCGCATTGCCAAAGTAACAACAACGAATCTTCAAAGGTTACTGCTACAACAACAACAACAACCACACACTATCTACAGACAACTACCTCAACCGCGAACATGTCGTCATTCACCGATGCTCGCTTCCAGTCCCCAGAGCCTGCAGCACCTCCGGGCTACGAGATCAACGCAAGGCACGTAGCCGACAAGAACTGGCGAAGGGACCATCGCCGCCAGTACCGCTTCGTCTACCACCAGCTCGAAAAGAAAGGCGACTTATGTCAGATTTGCATCACGTCCGGCCACCAAGCCATCAATTGCAAGCTCTTCGTAAGTCATCACTTGTTTTCCTTGCACTTTCGAGATGTCTCCAGGCAACTCTGGGAAGACACTCAGCAGCAGGCAGTTACATTGGCTGTCCACACCTTTCGGATACCTGCCGGTGCACTTCAAACCTCCTCACTGGAAGGTTGTTTGTCAATGTCCTTCCGCTTGCTCGGCTCTCCTCCGAATTAATGCGTCACAGGATGCATGCACCGCTCTTCCGCAAATCAGCTTTGGAAGTTGTGCCAACAAACGAAGTTGGACTAAGGTTCTCAGCGAAGATGCGATACCAAGGATACAATCTCCACTTCGGAATGAGCGGCGACAACATGCTTCTATCTGCCTTCGGGCATGGCAAGAGGCTCGACTTGCTCCATTCACGTCTCTTTCAAGACTCATTTACTAACACTTCATCTAGTTGGCTACCGCGGCCGATGCGAACAAGTGGATGGAGTCCGAGGCCGACCGCGAGAAGACCGAGTCCGAACGTCTTGCGACCGAGTTGCATGTGGTGCACAAGTACCGTCGTCGAGAATTGTTGGGCCTCATCTGCCTACTTGTGGCTGGCATGCTACTTCTGATACTCACGATCAAGACGACCAAGCTCCTTGTCGTCGCCTCGATGATTTCTCTCCTCGTCTTCGGCATGCTGCTCGTCTTCAACAAGATCGTGGTCGACTTCGCCAAGCGCCGTAAGTGATTGCAATATTGAAACATGTTCTTAGTTGCTGACTACATAGGCTATCTTTGAGTTTGTTATGGCGCGCATGCGTGTGCGGTAGTATCAAGGGTCTATGAAAGGTGGTAGTTATGACAGCTTCTGTGTAAAGTAGTCAATGCAAGACATTCAATCAGTTCCTTTCTCTCAAGATTCTTTGAAACCGCCATGGCATCCAGCCTACAATACCTTAGTCAAATCCACGGAAAGCTCCGCAGCTCGCATACACGCCTACCGCAATCACAGAACTCCAAGTCAGATACTCGCTGATGTAAGTTTGTAGAGCCACCTCGTTGCATCCTATCTACATGCGCTGATGTCCAACAGTCTACCCCTCCCTTCAACTAGATGCTTCGGACCCGAGCCAGCAAACTCTACCCCCGACTTGGTAGCCGCCAGACGAGTCGACTCTCTGGCACCGGAAGACACATATCCACTACGACGTACAACATATAGCGAGAGCGTGCCTAGATACTATCTCCGCCCTTCCCTTAGGATGTCGGCTACAAATTGGAACGCAGCTGTCGCGTCGCTGGCGCAATATGCTTCCTTGCGGACCCTGGTATCGAGCCCATCGCACCAGGTTGGAAGGATGCAAATATCCTACCCTGACAAGCACAACGACTTCGAGATGGCCACAAACACACAACAGAAGTTGATGCCTTCTCCCTACGCCTGTTTGGATGCGCGGTCTTCGCATCGAAGAGCTGCGCTCCAGGTTGCTGGCTTCGGTGCGGAAGACTTCACCTTTGCAAAAGACGTGCATCACGGCGCGCGAGACATCCAACGAACATCCAAGAGAGGCCTCGGAGTTCGTGACACAGCCGAGGCGGCCTCGCGCAATCGGTTGACTCTTCATGTTCTTGTGTCTGACCCCAAGTGAGGATCGTTTTAGAGTGGGTCTTGTCGTCGTCGTGGGTAGTGACTTCCTTCTCAGCATGCCGGAATCGTCTTAGCGCGCCCGCAGCGCTCTTTCCAACTCTCACCAGACGAAGAGATTTCTTCTCCACGACCTACTGCCGCCTCAAAATCGACTGTACGACACTCAATCGACTAATAATCGCCCAATTATCGACTCAAAATCGCCTACTACGACTTCGCATTCACATCAGCCACATCGACTCACCAACGCCAAACTTCACTTCACTTTCAGCAACCTCAGCAACCTCAGCAACCTCATCTCGCCCTGTAAGCATCGCATTTCTTCGCCATAATCGCATTTCATCGACAGCACCGACAGCACCGACAGCACCGACAACATCGACAGCATCGCCAACATCGCCTCGCATTTCTCCAGCATGTCGACTTCCGCTATCCAGACTGACCAGCAAAAGCGCCAATATATCTTAAACTACCTCGAGACTCAGCTACGCGACTTTAACTTTGCAAACAACGACGACTGGCAAAGCATCTTTTTCGATCAAACCCTATCGCGCCATAACCTAGTAGATCAGTCAATAAGTATTAAAGGAAGCATCGAGTTTCGTGTCAAGAATATCAGAAAGAGACGGAACAGTTCAGCCAGTTCTGAAGATGCTAAGCGTACCAAGGTTTCTCATATTAGGGAAGGTAGTAGCAGCGGTGGTGACGTTACCCCTGCTTCCGGTGATAGTCATAGTTGTCACGCAGCTCAGGCTACTACTATAAGCAACGGTGCTACTGCTACTACTACTTTTTCTAATATGGGAAACAGTGATACGCTGAGCAGTACTTCTTTTCCTTTTGTGAGTACCTGCACGTCGTTACCAAATGATCAATCAACTAGTATTGTATACAGTCCATCGAGATTTGGTCAGTCTGTTTCTCCTTTAGCTAAGTTCCAACATCTTGTTTCTCAGTCATCTCTGTTAATGCACAAGAAGCGGGTGTCATTGGGTAGTGGTAGAGACATAGAGAACAGGACGAAAGTGTATACTATAGATACCGCTGAATCTTTGGAGGAAGCTGATTGGGAGGACGTTGACGAGACGGAAGAGCAGGACAATGAGGAGGATTGGGAGGATGTTGATGACGCGGAAGAGGATGTCAACGAGGAAGACTGGGAGGATGTCGATAATGAGACGGAAGAGACGGGCAGTGAAGGACATCGGCAGCACGATGATGGAGTGGTGAATACCGGAGAGGCTGGGGAGGGCAATCCTCTTATCGGTGACTCACATCCAGAGGTATGTTCACCATGTTTGACTTCACGACTGTTCCGAATTTCGTTCTTTCCGGCCTGCCTGCTGACAAAAACAGGACTCTGAGCCCGAGATGGATGAGGCTACCAAGAAATACCGCCAGAAGACTATCGACAAGCTTCAAGCTGATCTTGCACAATATGAGCTGGACAGGGAAGAGAACGACCAGATGGCTGATCATATGTACGCTCTTCTGCCTAAGGTTATTCAGCAGTACAATGAGCACAGCTATAAACACCATCAAGTGTTCCTGTCGAGGGATGGCGAAACCGACAACAGCCACCTCCCGCTGGATCTTTACTGGAACCACATCAAGGTACTAGCTCAACCGGGCGGCTGGATCAGCGACTCGATCGTTGATGTTTTGTTGTCGACAACACCATCTCCATCCGGCAACATGGACTTTATTTCGCCCGGGAACAAGTTCTATCATCAGTTTCTAGGTGAGGCGGGCTCCAAGAAGATGCTGAAGAAGGCTCTGAAGTCAAAGTCGTTGCCGCCATCTGGGCCGAATCTGAAAAAGAACACCGACACCATGGTCGGGATCTGGAACCCTACAAACATGCATTGGGTCATGTTTGTCGCTAGCGCAGCAGGCGAGGAGCGATCAATAACCCTGTACGATTCCTGCTCGCAACACATTCCTACATGGGACAAGGCGAAAATGCTTCCGCTCGTCATGGAACTTATGGGCCGCTTCCATCCTGAATTCAAGGGCGCGTGGCCGAGGGCCATTCAGGAAGGAAAGACGATTCGACAAAAGGCAGATGATTGTGGTCCCTTCTCCGTCTACGGCGCCCGTTGCATCCTGGCAGGGAAGAAGATCGAGGTGCACAAGAAGAGCAAGATTTTCGGCCGGCATCTTCGTACGAAGTATGTGGGCGAAATCCGAGCTTTGGTTGAGAACGCTCCCTTCGACCAGTACGATCCATTCGCCGATGCCATCTGGGATGCTAACCGCGATGATGCTGGCGACGAGTCGAGCGAGGACGACAGTTCCAGCAGCGACGATACGGACGTAGACGTCCCTGGAGAGGACCGCGGCGATGGTGCGACTTCTGATGCCGGTCCCGATGCCGGTTCCAGCGACTCCGACTCCGACTCCGACTCCGACTCCGACTCTGATGGGAAGCCTGAAGTCAAAGGTACCGCAGCTAGGCACAGGGCGTTCCAAAAGAACGACCAAGACGATGTAGCTCTACAGGCTCTGTTGAAGAAGGCCACGTACAGAGCACGAGTGATTAGCATTCTGGGATCAATCGAATTGTCGTGGCCTGAGCTTGCGGAAATCCATCGAGTTCGATCTCAGACTATTGAGCGATACTTCAATGCCTCTACAAAAGCAGTTCGCATGCACGACAAGACTCTTCTCAAACAAGGCATATACAACATAAGGAATGCGAGTCTTCTACTCACGGAAAGAAATGAGGCAGATATCAGATACTACAGTCGGAACCCTCGGAACACAAGCTACACTCCTGATGCTCACACTGTGGGAATTTTCGCCACCCCTCAGCATGTCAAAGTTGATGCAGACGACATTGATCATGGCTACGATCTCGTTGTGATCTTCACAAGACAGAGTGGAGCATCCATGCGCACGATTGAGCAGGGTCTTGACAAGCACACCATGCGAGCGAACGAGATATACGACGCCTGGCACTCGATCTTCAATCGGTTCAACGATGAGCATGAACCGGTGGATCATAAGGACCAGCTTTCTGATGAAGGAAACTTCCGCATGCATGTCAATCTCCAGATTGGCTCTAGCAATGCACCTCTTCTAGGAGGCGATTCTCACCCACGCCGTTCCGAAGTAAAGCGTATGAGGAAGATAATCCGCGCCGTTGTTAAACTACGCGACAACCCTAAGGTTTTGCTCCTACAAGCGGGCTTAGATGCGTCAACCACGGACACGGATTCATTCCGCACGCTCATCAACCATGCTAATTTTAAGAATATTCGATTCTTCCTCACGATGGTGGTTCCCAATTTCATATCGATTCGCTACCCGCAGGTGTTCTCTTGGAGATGCGAACTTACAGCCTGGGGACACTGGGACGTGCAAAAACTAGCCGACGTGAAGGAAGACGGTGCCTCAACGCAGCTCGCGCAGGAGCCGAGCTACGCACGCCTCATTCTGTGGCTGGATCGGATATATCGCGAGAAGCAACTGACACAGAACAACAACATGCGGAACACGCCATTCTCCCACGCCATGCACATGACGACCTGTGTAAAACGGAACAAATTCAAGATCGACTTCGCGGACGAGAAAGCATGTGAACAATGTGATGCGTCAGATACACCAGAGTATTGGGTCAGGGGTACTACAAGCCCTAGTGCCGTTCGCTGCAGCCGAGAAGATTGCCTTCACGCGAATAGCGGTTCCAGCGATGACGAGGACGGAGATACCATTGCTGTAGCCCAACCCCCGGCCACCACGAATAGCGGTTCCACCAATGACAAAGACGAGGATACTTTCCGCGGATCATCGAGTCCACTTTCCTCGGTTCCCGGCGATCTAAGGACCCCATCGGAGGGATCCCTATGTGGCTTTGTCCCCAAGGACAACCACTATGAAGATTCCGTCAATGAGTTTAGCTCACCTAACTCAAGCTCCGAGGACGACGATGATGGCCCTCCGCTCACTAGGACGGAAACGCGTCGACGTCAGCCGTTAAGAGGCTCTGCTAAACCTGGACCGCGTCTTTGTCAAGTATGTAAATGTACTGAGGCAAGCGGTTGGATCAGTACAATCAACAGCAAGTACTTTCCTGACTTCTCGGGTGGCCATGTCTGCCAGGCCTGTTACCAGAGAAAAAAAAGGAGGTCCACGAATGTTATCGATGAAACTCACACTGGACAACGCACATGCCACCGCTGTAGTTGCACAACAACACAGATTTGGTACAGAACGATCTCTGATCCTCACCAGGTCGTTGAAATCGTGATCGGGCGCTGGTTCTGCCATTCATGCTATAGCAAAGCCGCACATAAGACACGCTATACGGGGCGTGCGAGAGAGGAAAAGCCTACTAACTGTGATCTGTGTAAGAAAGAACTTAGTCAACTTCCCAGTCGCAACGCTCGAACCCTTCGTTTCAGGCAGATTTCCGGGAATTTCTGTCGGGCCTGCCGTGAGCGTGATGATGCATACCACAATGCTGCTCTTATTGCTAGCGAGGAGCAGGAGTTGCGAAATGCGAAGAAGGAAAAGAAAGAGAAGAAGGCAGGCAAGGCAAAGAAAGGGAAGAAATTCGAAAAGGAGAAGGAGGAAGAGAACACTGACTGAGTATCCCCGACGACCAACTTCATCGTCTTCACGGTCCTTGAGGTTAGTATCTTGGAGCCTATTCCATTCGACACGCACACTGACACTTCATAGAAAAAGAACCTGATGTGCAAAGGTGGTACGTATATTCATGAATATGCGCTTATCACTTAGCCACACTAACGCGTCAAAGGCGGAGGGCGGCAACCTTCGAGGTGACTTGTCAACGCGACGATCAACGGAAGAGAGAAATTTGGCATGACGGAGGATACCGGCGGTCACCAGGCGGCAGATCGGGCCACGTTTCTGACGGTTCCTGTGACGGGCTTCAAGTCAAGAGCAGGACCGAGGGGACGTAGATGACTGTCAGACGGCCCGTTAGTAGACTTCGTGCAAGAGATGGACGAGCAACGAAATCGGACTCTGCGCCTCCCATCGGTGTTGCTCGGATACTGGCTTTACAGCTTGCTAGAGCAGAGACGTAACTTGTAGATTACATGAAGGAATTCAAGGCCTCTAGTTGTTTGGCTTGCTTTGTGTCTTCGATCCATCTCCGAGTACGCTGAACTGTGCGATCATCTTGGTCTTCTCACGGGTACCGCAAAGGACAGCCAGCAAGTCTATGCTGACGGCTTTATTGACCCACCATCCGGCATCTGGGGGCTGGAGAAGTCTCCTGTGCCCTTCCTGCGAGCGCTACTCATGAAGATCCGGCGGGAAGGAGAAGGCGTCGAGAAGACCCATCTGGGTAGGATGCTAAGCGGAGTTCGGCTGGAGGAGAGCGACTTTGTGGTGGAAGAGTAGTTGGCTATTTTGACGGTTGGTGACAATCTAGAGACGAAAATTGGATGAGAGAAAAGAGAGAAAGGATGTTACACGAAGAGGCGGTAATGACATCGGCACAGCTCTACACCACGGTTAGAAGCACTGTCGGTGTGTCAGCAAGTAGTAGATACAATGCACCTTTGTGGTATAATTTCTTTGGCATAATGGCGTGATACTTCCGCGTTTTTCGAGGTGTCGCGCGGCGCGTAACGCGTGTCGCCTCGGTACTGTCATCGCCCCATTGAGACTAGCGCGCCCACGTCATCAGCACCAGCCCTGGAGGAGGTTAGGAGTCCCTGTCATTTGCTGCATATACGCCATTAAATCATAACATGTAAACAAGTCTCGTTGTTATGTATGCGTCTACCTCAATGATGCTGCTAACTACATCTTTGTAGAGTGCGACACGAATTACACCCACGACTACAGTCGCGCGATTCGCGACTTCCGGACTCAACACCACACCCATACAATCAGGCATCACTTGTCATCAAGATGTTCGTAGAGCAACCTTCTCGATTCGCGCAACTCTATGTGGCCAATATATACAAGAAAGAAGTCAATGTATGTACAATGCTTCCAGAGCGAGCACAACAGATGCACTGCATCCCCACCATCCAATGAAATCCACCGATGCCCGCCGATTCGTCCTCGACATGTTGTTCAAGTCTTGCTCTAGGCAACCTAGCAAGAAGAGAGAGGCTCCTTGTAGATGCAGGCGTCGGAGGGGCCCTTGGAAACGCTCTCTGGCTCGCTGCCAGAAGCAACACCCTTGAACTCCTCGCAAATGACCTTGACGGAGCTGGCGCAGTTGGTAGCGTCGATCGTGGCGGAGTCTCCGAAGTTAGGGTTGATGCCAGCAAGGAGCTTGCCGTTGGAGGCCTTGACGTTCTTCATGATAACATGGCGCTCGGCGGATTGCTTGCAGTTACCGCAGGAGCGGTATAGCTTGCCGAAGGTGTCAACGGTGAAGCCGTCGATAGTGACAGTTCCAGCGCCGTTCTGCTGGATGACCTTATCTTCGGCGCCGGTAGCTCCTCCACCGATCACTAGAAGACGTTAGCTCAGTCTGAAAGTATGTGCAAACACCTCTTACCAGTTGCGTCACCATCTTTCTTGAGAGAAAGCGCGTCCTCGCAGACAGCAGCCCACCAAACGTTCTCGATGGTGCAGCTGCCCTCGCAGTGGACACCCTCGACCTGGTCCTCTCCGATAATCGCGTTCTTCAAAGTAGCGCCATCCTGCAGAGGTAGAGGTACGAAGTCAGTATATGTCTCACATGTACTTCCTACAGCCGTGACATACCTTTAGAATAAAGACCGCGTCAGAATCTCCGCCTTCGGCTTGGCCAGTGCAAGACACGCCACGACCGTAGGTCTTGAGACCACCGTCAAAGGTGCCAGTGATCTCCATGGGCTCCTTGAGCGTCTGGGAGCCCTTGGAGGCCGGGATAGGCAAGCTCGCCCGCTTGTTCAGGTTGAAGAAGTTCATGGGAGAAGGCTTGCTGGGACCGGCGGAGACGGCGACGGCGAAAGCCACGATGGCAGCAGCGACGGAGGCCTTCATGTTGATAGTTGGAAAGGTTGGGGTTGGAAAAGCTGGAGAGCTGAGAAGTTGTTGGAATGAAGAGAAGGACGTTGGGTTCGGCTAGCGAATGTAATGCGTCGAGCAAAGGATTGAAAGAAGATGAGAAAGCTGAAAGACTGTAAAAGACTGTTGTTGGCTCGATGGTGAGTACGGATTTTTGAGTGCGTCTCCCGCTCCATCTTATACCATCCACGGATCTGTTCCGACATCTTCTGAATGCCTGCCGTCGGGACAACTGCGGAAACTTGCAGGTTTGGCGAAATCGCATATAGATTGAACCCACACGGCTCCGCCTACCCTCATGGGCTTTGTGCTTGGCGATTATGCTCATCTGTTTGAAACAGTCCTTGGATTCGCGAATCGTGATCCGCGCGGTCTCTACCCGTTTCGCCTTTTACGCCAAGAGCGATGCGTTTCAAAGAGGTGACCTGGAAGTTCCTCCAATCGTATGTCTTGTGCGCACAGCATGGAGAACAACGTAACCGTGGAAGCTAAGCCTAATCTGCAGCATGTCAAGTGTTTATGGTATGGAAGAAGGTTGCGGCTACAGCTGTCACGTCCAGCACTCTCGAGGTCCTTGTTCGGCACCCAAAGCAGGTAGTAACGGCTGCGACATACGTTGTGTCTTCGCAACGCTCACACAGATTGATGGCAGGAGACCACAATTGCACATCTGCTGAAGTTGCGCGCGGGCATATCCCAGCGTGAAAACATTGCACTTGAGTGGTGGAAGAAACAACCCAACACCACAACTCGAGCACGTGGAGTCACAGCGCTTCTGGTTGTGATCGTCGCCATCACAGTTCTTAGTATATTGAAGTTGCAAACGTGCACCAGCACAAAGAGATCGGTGCCATCGAGCCGCCTCACCAAACACGACCCCGTTCCTCACAGACCACGTTAGGCTTCGCGGAACTTTTGGTAGCGTGGTTCGAGATTCGCTTGGCATTCCCCACTACCTGGTGAAGCAAGGGGCGGGAAGCTTGTGTATCGACACAGACAGCAAGGCTGCATACGATCCACTGACTCAAAGTATCCACATTATGTCGTCGACATCGAATTTTCAGATATCTGGCTGCATATCTGTAACAAACATGCTTGATTGTTCAGTAAACATCGACAACCCAAGGAAGACAGCCGCCCGCCACAGCGCACCAGGACGCAGACATCACACCAGGCACCGAAATGAGAGTGACATGCATGAATCAATCCTCCACGCGGCATTTTCGTACAACGCTCAGTGGTCAAGCGTTTTTTTCTTTCTTTTGGTGAAACATACCCAGCTCCGAAGTTGACCCAGTCCAGACACCCTTCGCCATCTGACACCACCATCAACAGCACGAACGGCCTGACGTCGCAGGTCTCCACGCGCTCGTTCATCTCGGGAAACATTGCTTTTGTCGTAGGAATGCATGCGACGGCTCTGAACGTCAATCACAGTGCATCCTCCTGCGAGCAATGATGACAACGCTGTACGGCAGGCAAGCCGCACTCCGTGAACGAGATCACGGAGGGGTACGTAAGCCGATCGTGGTGCGTGCCCTGCGGCTGGGGCCGTGGCTGTGGAGGCGTTGGCGCCACACTCTAATTGTAGCTTTATCGTGACGCTGCTGCGCACCTTCCGTGCTGCTTCAGTTCACACATCTCTCTGTCACGAGCGACAAAGACGCCTGACATCCGATGCCTCTAGAAGATTTTCATTGATAGCAGCAGCAGAACACCAAAGACGGGTTGGGATTTCTCACCTCATCGCTACGCTATCCGTCCGTGCGCTGGCTAGCGCCTACCCGATATATACAACTTTTTGCCCGTCGCTCTTTTGCTCTGCACAGCAAACTTCCCAGTTCAACGCACACCGTGCAAGCCGACCCTCGGTAGCTGGGAACTTGCGGTCCTTGCGCCGGTCAAGTATACCTGCACCTTATCTCTACGTCGAGATATACACCCGTTAGCCATTGCTCTTAAGTGAGCAGGGCCGACAAACCAACCTTTACTCCTCGGGAACGGTTGCCTCCGGTGACTATTTCGGTCGTTTAGACGTTGTTACTATATCTAAGGTCTCCTTAGTTTATAGCATTTCTTCTTCCAGATGTCATTCGAGACAAACTACACCGCCCTTCTCTCCTCAACAATGGGGCAAGAATCTGGGCTCTTCGATGATACGCGACCGGAGCCGTGCAACACCTGAGACTTGGGTCACATATTGTGACTCTAGCGATTGGTAGGCAGTAACGTATCCTCTCCACACGGTTGAGAGCGCTACAGTATGTCGACTATAGTTGTTCGATGCGGACGACGTGAAGTTCATGTCTGTAAGAGAACCTCGGAAGACAGCTGAAGCTCTACTTCCAGCGGCACGAGTCGCTCACGACTCCCGCAATACACAACCATCTCGTACGCAAACGCACTTTTGCGATCCGAGACTTTCAGGTGGGCGTGGCAGCCATATAATCGCCGTATCTACCCAATAACACATATCAAGGTCTGTGTCGTCGCCGGGTAGTTATTACTTCTACCCTACATTACATATTAAGGTCAATGTTGTCGTCAGGCAGTTGTCCACATCGTCGTTTCTCCTGTCAATCCATCAATTGCCAGAACAAGCTGACTACAAACAAAATTGAACTGAATCCAGGATTCGTCACAACGAGCTATCATTCTGAGCTACCCCCCAGCTCACCTATCCTCTCCAAGCCAACACGGCCTCGCCCACCCTCTCAAGCTCCAGGCTCAAAGTCACTCTCCAGCGGCCCCCCGCAAACCCCCCGTCAGACAAACAACAGCCGCCTAATACGTAACACTCCCCGTACTAGTACAATCCTTCCTCAGCTGCGCGCTTCCACAATAGCAATTACCAACCGCCGCATTCGGGGACGAGACGGTATCAATCAGCACTCCATAGTCCACCGAGTGGTCACGATCCGCGTTATTCGTCGCCGCTCCGCAGTCACCCGCGAAAATGCCCGCAGACCTAACAATGCGCATAGTAGAGAGGCAGCTAGGGATCTCTAGGTCGCAGAAATCGTTGTTCTTCTAGTTGTCCAGTTTGCCGGTGCCGGCAGAGGTGCCAGCGGAATAGAAGTCGCCGGTGCCGAAGCCGTTTTCCTGGCCTTCGATGCCTGGGGGTGAGTGTTAGGTTGTTGGGGATCAGGGAGGCTGGGCTGGAAGGTTACCTGCGCTGTTCCACGTCTCGATGATGTGCAGTTGGCCTGGAGTTGAGAAGGTGCCGCCGATTTCGGAGCCGGCGTATTTTCCTATGATGAAGTCGGCGTAGGTTGAGGTGGTGAAGAGGCCCAAGAGGGGAAGGAGGGAGAGCCGGGAGTTCTTCATGTTGGGTACGGGAAGTAAGGTGTCGAGGTTGGTTCGATAGTGCGGCAGGAGAGTGTTGAAAGCTCTTACCGTCGTGATGGAAGTCATCTCGATCGATCGTCTACCAATTCTTCATTCCATTGTCCCAGATATGCCCGTGCGATGCGTGTTGGCTGTATGACCCATCATTGCTGTCAGTAGCCTTGGTCTGAAGTTGCAACAAGCACCCTAAGGCCAACGCTTATTTCATTTGGTGTAGGAAGGATGCATTCGGCCCCACCCCCAACAACAGTACGTAGCGGTAGTGGATACTCTGAGCGGCGAAGGCCCGTGATCAACGCTCATCAAATATCTCATCTTTGATTTCGAAGATAGTTAGCGTCAGCGTCAGCGTCAGCGTAGCATCAGACGACTTTTAGGATGAGCTTGTAACTCATTTGACAGACTTATGCGAAGAGCACATGAGCACGTGGTTCTGACCAAACCTTATACTCAAGAAGCTTATGGTATCCTACAAAGTGCATAAAAATCTGAGGTCGATAGTGAAGGCACCTCATACAAGAAGAAACCTGGAAAGATCTGCAGACTACATCATACCAAAAACTTGCAAACTAGGTGACCTAACGTCAACGTCGACTCCAGGGCGTTCAGCTTTTTCCTAGGTTGGCGTGAAGGCACAAATAATCCTTTAGGGGAGCGGAGTCGCAAACAATGGGACTGCGAGTCCCGGGGCCTGGAGAAATCGTGGTAGGCCTGACACTACCATGCCGATCAACCAGCAGCCACTAGACATGGATGGGGAAGTAATGCGAAGCTAAGAGATGGACGACATGAGCTGAGTGCTTTTCGTCACTTATGGGAAGAAGTAAGCAAAGGTATGGCCGACGGTAAGTCGGTGTGCGTGAAGCCTTGACTAAGACGCGGGATCTGAAAGAGTGTATATGACGAAGACTTGTTTGAAAGGTTGAAGCTAGGTTTTTAGATTTCATACGCCTATCGATGGGATTGATGTTGCACAATGTGGTGGCACAGCAGACCAAATGTACATGCATGCATCCCATCGTACATGTCTAACAGGGGCCGCCCGTTCCTCCGCCATGCTCAGTTCCCATGCCCCGTCGCAGCAACACCAGACACACACTGCTCACTTCATCTTCCTAGCGGACCAGTATTGGCGGTGCCACCAGTCCTCCTTGACGACTTGCCCAGCATAAAGTTACCCAGACCACGTGCACCACTGGCAAGAGGCTGCCTGGTCATCGGCGAGTTTTGGTACGAGGAATGCGCATCCTGACTCAAATATGGAGGGGGCTGGCGTGAACCACCGAGAACCGGAAGCTGGCTCCTATGAGCTTGCGAAGGCGTCCCGACTGGAGCTGTGTCTTCACTGTGTTAGCGCGCGATGCTCTCACTCATAATCGAAGGAGTAACTCACGACCAGTGTTGTTCCTCACACCCAGTCCTCGTCTCTGCAACTGTGGATCGAACGGAGGCCCGAGATGGACACCGCCCTGCTGCTGCCGTCCACTGCTCCCAGAACTCCTACTAAAGTCTCTGTTGTGCGGTTTACCACCACCGGCCTGCTGCGACATGTTCATCTGACTGTAGTTGGCCGTTCCGGTCCGCGTGCCAGGAAGGCGGTCGATGAACCGGTCTCCACGAGCAGTCTGGATCGTGTACGCCGCCTCATCACCAGCAGCATGAGCTACCTCCGTTGCCATGACCTTGCTTTTCAATTGCTGGTAGTGCGCTTGGGTCTGCGCATGCGCTTTCGTCTTCTCTTTGAAGGCTTTCTGAAGTTGATGGTTTTTGTCCTCGAGATCCTCCTGTTCGGCTTGCATGGCTACCGGACGGTTAGTATCGGAGCATTCGGAGGAAGAGGATATCGCGAACCCTGCATCTTGTCTTGCAATGCCTTGATCTGCGAATTCGCATCGTGCACGAGCTGATCCATCTGTTGACTGAGCGTATCGTACTTGCCAGTCAAACCTTTCGCGAGGTGCTCCTGATAGATGATCTCCTGCGACGTCTGATAGCTATGGAACGCCAAGCCACGACTGGCACACTCCATGATGATTGTTGGACTCAGGCCGCTTAGTACTGACGTCTTGTAGTCTTCTGATGGATTGAGACCAGCGACAACCACATCGTCGGGGTTGTGCAGCGATGAGTTGCATGCTGGACAAGTTCGATGCGCATTTGTAGATCTCGATAGCCCGGTGACATCTGCGCAATTGCTGCAAAAGACGTGACTTGTGCGATGGTCAGCGAAAAGCGTCAGAGGCAGGTGAGATGGACGAACCTGCACGTAGTAACCACGGCGCGTTCATGCAGCTGCGATCGACACTTGAGCTCATTGCAACGCAGAACGTACTCCATGGCGAGCGGCGATTGTGAAGTGGAGGGAGTTCCGTCGGCGGATGGAGAAAGCACGATGTTGACGCGAAAGCACGTGGTCCGCTCACCGAGGCAAGAGCATCCCAGCTCGTGTAGAATCTCATCGCATCAAGCGTAACATGAATTCGTGTCTTATGGATGTGGTATCTCGCCGCGCTTGCAACACTAAGCAACAGAATGCGTCCGTGGGGTCTGCCGCTTCCGCATTCGAGTCTATCGATCATCCTTGTCAGGCTTCCGCCGTTGTCTTGTGCTCTTCTTGCCAGCCACGGCCGTATCATCCTCCTCTTCGTCCCGGCCCTTTGCGAGTTCACCATCCAACTCCCACTCTTCGGGGTCATACCAGTCTTCGCCATCGCTCATTTCTCCTACATGGGCTTCCGCTTTTGACCACTTGTATACATCCTGCCTCATGCGGTCGGCTTGTAGCAGGCCTTGGTACAAGTCGGATGTTATCCGTGCGACCTCCTCCTGTTTTTGTACGTAGGCCATGAGGAGCATGCGTGTTTCCTCGGCTTCGTTGGGTGGAAGACCAAAGTCGCGGTCTGGCAACGAATCTGACGGATGTATGAAGAGAGGATGTATTGCGCCGACACCACTCGAGGGTGAATGAGGTGGGGAGGGAGTCGAAGCTGCGTGCGCCTGTGCTCGTCTGCGCGTCGTCATCCTATGTGTCTGTTGCGACGCGGTATCAGACGCGTCTTCGGGCGTTCCTTCTCCGTTCTCTTGCGCCTGCTCTGCATCTCCTGCGTGCGTTCCGTTGGTCACAGGATGTGCGCCATTGACACTTTCTGAACTCGCATCGCCGTTGGTCTCGGCCTGTCGACTAGTGCCATTTGGCTGGCCTGCATCCTCCATGTCTACGTCATGGGGACTTTCTATGGTTTCGCGCATGTCCGCATCGTGGGGTTGTTGCTGCTCTCCTTCGCCCGTGCGCCCATTTGCGCTGCTAGCCCATGGCTCCTGGAACGGTGCCCTTCCCATGGCAGCCAGGGCAGCTGGCGCAAACGTGGAGTCGCCCTGTAATTTCACGAAAAGAGTCTTCGCCCGCGCGTTAGTGACCTGCTCTTTTCGAGAAAGGGCTCCAGCTTCGCTCGCGAGGTCTGTGAGATGCCGAGAGGAGTATGCCACACTCAGGGCAGGGTGATTGGGTAGGTCGGCGGCCGAGGTGAGCGGCGCAAGAAGACTCTCGAGCTGTATGTTGCCGTAGGGATTCTCCTCGACAGCCTCCACATCTTCCTCGTCTTCGTAATCTTCTTCGACTTCGACGACATCACCGTCCGCATCGTATCGTGGAGGATTGCGCTGTAGGATGGACCTGTGGTAGCCGGCGTGCTCAATGCGCTGGAGGCGTCAGTCCACAGTCGACACCCGGGTCGCACAAGCCAAGACACACCTTCTTGTACGGTCGCGGGTCAGAAAGGAAGTCTGGGTCGCTGGCGCGCGCATAATGGACCTTGCGCCTCAAATCCTGCTTGTTGCTGTTCAAGGGTGTTTCGGAGTCCTCTGTGTCGGCTGCGCAGTGTTAGCTAGGACTGTGTCGAGGTAGGAATGAGCCTACAGTCGTCTTTTCGCAGCATCTTCCTCTTCATGCTGAAAATGGTATCCATAATCTGCTGCTGTTGGCCCGCCATGGCGTCAGGGCCTCTGGCCAGCGCGAGGGTAAGGTGGTGAAGATGCGGAGTATCGATACGAGCGCGTTCAGCTAGTACAACGACTTGTTGCGCTGTCAAAGGAATTTGGAGGTGGGGTTACGCGTAGCGGCGAAGCTGGATTGCAAAAGTATAGCTGTAGAGTGTTGGAGAGAAAGTGTGGAGGGATCGGGCGGCATAGAGAACGTGCATGGCAAGGGTTCAGCTAGCTTCCCGCGCCCATGTGTCGACCCGCGACCATCGATGACGAAGCCGCGAACAATCTGTACACTATCTCCATGCTGCCACAAACACGCTTGATATCGCCAATTCGATACAGCACCTAGGGAGCGCACGTCTGGCTTTGCGATTCTCGTGCGACGAGCAAATCTCACTCCGCAGCACTTCCGCTCTCCACAACTCCGAAAAGCAGCACCACGTCGACACCACGCTTGTGAGATACAAGCTGGAAACCACGCGACTCGGGCATGGAGTTATAATGGAGGCATACCCATCAGACTTCACTGCGCACAACCTACCGTTTATTGTCCTTTCAGGCCTAGCGACCAGCAAAGAGGCCGATCCCCCTCCATCGGTCCAGCATGTGCTTCCGGGGCGCGCTGTCACAACCATCAGCTCAGATCTACCGCCAGCAGAAGGTGACCGGGCAAATGAACTACTCCAAGAGTTTCTGAGTGCAGATGGCACGAACGCGCCGTGGAATGGGCGTGACTTTAGTCGCCGAGGCATCACGCATGGCTTCAGAATACGGAGTGTAGGAAGGGTACATGCGCCTGCGATTATGCCACGGGAAGGAGCCATGGGCTGATGTTTGCTAGAACTTCCAACTGCCCCCGAAAAAGGCAGATGCGCCCTCAAACTCCGAGACAACCCCTCCAGGCAGTCCCACCATCGCAGCCGCAACATCCTGGGTCCTGCATTCGCCCATATCGCCCCTCTCACCAGCGTCGCCCTCCTTCCCCGACGGCGTCATCGCTCCTGCCTGGGTCGCCAAGCACCAGCACTACGTTCCTTCCGTATTCGTCTCCTTCTTCAACTTCACCACAGACCCCATTACGAACAGCTTGCACGATAATCAGCTGAAGACGGACATCAACAAGATCAAGAGCCAGATACAAAAGTCAGACTACCGAACAAGATACGTTGTAGTGTTGCTGAGTGACAAGACTATAATCGAGGCCCCAGACATCGAAGAGCGACTGGCGACGATACGGCGGGCTACAGGCTTGGATCCAAAGAGTTCACTCTTCTTTCTGCCTCCAAGGACATCCAAGGTCGAGCTGCAGGCATTCGTCACTTCTATCCTGGCCATATTACAGCCCGTCTGTGTCGAGTATTACCGGGACCTCACAAAACATGCGCGGAGGAAGAAGGGGCGAGGAACGATTCCTCCTCCAACAGCTCCACCGACACGAGGCACATCCCAAACACTGTCGTATCCCGGATGGGGTGTTCGCTATGATTTCAAGCTTGGCATCCTTGCCGAGTTTCGCCAGGAGATGGACGCTGCACAGCGACACTACGGGGCTGCTTTGGAGGCATTGTTTGGCGCCGAAGGCTTGTTTGAAACAACGGCAAGCTGGTCTCCAAGATGGGACGAGATACGATTGCTAGCAGATATCATCGCACTACGACACATTCGATGTCAACTATGGAACAATTTCCCTACTTCCGCCGTCCAGTCTTGGTTACGATACAAGTGGAAGTTACAAGACGTGCTCGATCGCCGGGGCAAGGGTACTAACAACTATGGTTGGCAGGCTTGGGAATCCACATGGGCCCAAGTGATGGCTGAGACGGTACGACGAACAGAATTGCCAGTCTTCAAGATACGAGATCCTGTCCCGGACACAGATCCCTTGCCAGACATCCCTAACTCGCTATACTCTCAGCCCGAGAAACAGTTTCCGGTAGGAGAAAGACTACCACCATGGGAACTGTTACATCATGCCGGATATTGGCACAAGATTGCCAGTGACCACGCAAAAAGGCGCTACATCCTTGCCAGAGAGATGCCAGAGGAAGACCGAACACCACCAGGCATGTCTCCTGCCGCCAAGGTCTCGGCTCGGAATCAAATATACGATCACTACCTCGTTCCGCAACCTCACGAAGAGTATCCTGTACCTGGTATCGGCAACGGATTCGAGCACTGGAAAGACATCTCATCCAAGCTTAATGCCGCGATAGCTGAGTTTAGAGCTCGGGGACAACACCGGAAAGTAGATCAGTTACAACTCGAGGTGGCTCGAACATTGCTACACGTGAAAAGATTTGACGATGCTTACAAAGTACTGCGATCACTCTGGGAAACGATGGCTTGGCGGAAAGAAGGATGGTGGAGCTTAGCTTCAGAGGTAGTATGGACTCTGCATGAGTGTGCACTGCGAGTACAGAGCCGAGAATCATATGTTGCAACGGAGTGGGAGCTGTATAGTCAAAGTCAGTGTTACTCGTCTTTTACACGAAGCTTCACTAACGGCCACCAGCGATTCCTGGCAAGACAAAATACAAGTACGACTTGATGACATGTTTGGACGTCTTCTCGGATGCGACTGCCGATAAAGTGAGCGTGAGTTTAAATGCTAAAGACCACATATCCTGCTGTAAGTGCGACACCCGTTTCCAAAATTTAAAGGCTGACCTTGCAGTGTCGACGTCGTTCGCCTTTGCCGAAGCCGAAGGTAATGTTGGCGAACCCCTTCATGCACAACTTGCCATCAGCTCCAATGCTCGACCAGGCTCCGCCCCTATCACGTTATCTTTTCTCCAATATCAGTTCAATGGTGGTTTGGCTGAAGTCCGCTTGAATCACAACGCCGACGAACCCTCTGGAAGTACCTCAATCATGTACACCTGCACATTAGAAGAGACTCACTCCGCTACCGGAAAGCCACGCTGGGCCGGAACAGCTGATCTGACGCTCCACCCGGGGCAGACTAAAGTGTACAGTCTGCCACTCATTCTGCGCGAGTCTGGGGATGTCGATGTTGTCGCGTGCGTCTTCGGCGTCAGCACGGAAAAGTTTGATCTCGTTTGCTCAGACACAGACCCAGAGACTCCAACTCATCCGGTTTGGTGGATTAAGTCAGATACCAAGATCAAATCAAGATCATTGAAGCATGGATCTGGTATGTCGGTGCACATACTACCCAAACCGCCAAAGATGGAAATCAACCTACCGGACGTTCGCAACCAGTACTACACGGATGAGTCCGTGACGCTAGCGATAGAGATTCTGAACCAAGAAGAAGAGGACACTGAAGCTGTCCTTGAAGTGCGATTACTGGGCCGCTCCAAAGACACTCTGAGCTACACCTGGGTCGAGCGTCCGGCAGAGTCACCCATGAAGGAAGTCCCACCAGCACTCGACGGGTCAACAGATGTAGATCTCCCGGGCCATGTAGTAGGGAAGCTAGCCCAGGGTGCACGAACAACAGAGCGAATCCGTTTCACTGCACCCGCAGATCCAGCAGACTACGCCTTGGAAGTCAAGGTACTATACCACCTCCTCAGCGACCGCGACATACCCATCTCCAAGATCATGGTCGCAGATCTCGTCTTCAACGCACCCTTCGAAGCGAGCTACGACCTCATGGCACGCGTGCACCCCGATCCATGGCCCAGCTACTTCGAGCTCCAAGAGGCCGAAAGCAACGTCAACCCCGAATCGCCCGATGCATTCGGTATCGCACAGAAATGGGGACTACGAGCCAAAGTCGCATCCTTCGCCGACGAACAGCTCATCGTCAGCGACCTAGCCGTCCAAGTCCACAGCATCCACGGTGGCGCAACATGCGACGTCACGAAAGAATTCAGCATTGCAGAAACTCCCATGGAACCCCAGGTTCTCAGCGAATGGGGCTTCAGCCTGGATATCCGGAAGAACAACCTCGAAGAACGTCGCTCCACCGCCCTCGACACAACTCTCAACATAACATGGAAGCGCACATCCGACCCCACCGCCTCCCCAGTAACATCCTCCCTCCCCATCCCCCGCATCCAGATCCCCTCCTCAGAACCCCGCGTCCTGGCTTCCCACCACCTCTCCCCCACGACCCCTTCTCTCATCCATCTCGACTACGTCCTCGAGAACCCCACCATGCACTTCCTCACATTCGAGCTCGCCATGGAAGCCAGCGAGGACTTTGGTTTCAGCGGACCTAAACTACGGACGTTGCATCTCCTGCCTATGAGTCGGCAGACGGTCAGGTATAATTTGCTGTCGAATGTGGAAGGGGATTGGATTATGCCGAATCTGAAGGTGACGGATCGGTACTTTAATAAGACGTTGAAGGTACAGGGGACGGAGGGGATGAGGGTGGATAAGAAGGGGGTGGGGATTTGGGTGCCTGGTGATGAGGGAGGGGTGGGAGAGGGAGAGGGGGAAGGAGAAGGGAAGGGGGAATAGTGGGTGGAAGTAAGTCGGTTGAGAGATTAGCGGTCTTGATGAGTGATGCAGTAGATGAGCTTGCGCCCGTAGAATTGTGCTTTCAATATACGAATGATGATGGTCAAACGCTAAATGCCCTATAAACATCCACTATTAGATGCAAACTCCTCCCAAGCCATGAAAATCTACCCAGACCCCCTACCCTTCGTCACCGGATCCCTCCCCGGCACCACAGTATCCCTCCAAAGATCCTCATCCTGCTCGTCCTGCGGAATAAACCGCGCCGTCCCCTCCCTCCTCATATCCACATTCACAATACTCGTATTCGTATCCGTAAACATCGTCTCACCGGTGATAAGCGGCATGGACATTGTAGTATCTATATTGTTCTGAAATCTCATCAGTTATTAGGGACTCCCTGAGAGGATTATGTGGGGAGGAATCAGGAGGAGGCTGGGCATACTGCTGTGGTTGTGCGTCATCGCCGTAGTAGATGGGCGTTTCGAAGTCGGTGGCGGCGTGGGAGAGGATCGTGGGGTCGATTTCGGGGATTTGCGTTGATGGGGGTGGTTGTGATTGGGACGGTTGTTGGGAGATGGTGGTTTGGGGCATGGTCATTGTGTTTGTTGGCTGCTGGGTGCTGGCGTCGACTTCGACGATCTTGTCTTCTTGTACTCTTACTTCGCGGTCTCGCAGGCGGCGCATTAGTCCGAGGAACTGTGAGTTTTGGAACTTCTCGCTTGTGTTGTCTGCTACGCGCTCTAGCAACCGGCCTGCTGTTGCCGCCATCTCATCGTCTTCGTTTCTTAGCGGTTGTTCTTGCTTCTGCTCTTCTTCGGGTTTCTGTTCGAAGTGTTGTAGCGGCTCTGGTGTTCGCATGTAGCCTGCTGCTTCTAGATCCTGCCATATTTGCTCTTCGCTCATCTGAACACGAGACCCCAGTGGGTATTGTGACATGAGGCGTTGGTTGATGGCCTTGATGAGCTCTTCGGCGCGGGTCTTGACTTCTTGAGGGGCATCGCGATTTACGATTCTTTGAAGAGAATCGACAATCCATTTCCCTTCGTTCGCGTCCTGGACCAGAGTACCGCTCTTCTCCAGGCGATCCATGTTCTCGAGGTAGGCTACTGCTTCGTCGGTTCGCCCGAGACCGGTTTCGCTCCAGACTTGGATGGCGGAGTAGACAGCTAAGCTCACAGTCAGCACTCGTAGTTGGTTAGACAGACACTACACACCTGGCCGCGTTTCTCGTATCCGTTGAAGAAGAGGATCCATCTCACCCGGCCGGTCCAGATCCAGCGCCTCTTGCGCTGGCTGTGTGTGTACTTGCTCTGCCTCTGCCGTCTCCATCATGTCTTGTTGCGCCTGCGCAAATGCTTGTTCGAAAGCCGCCTCGTCGAACGCTGGTACGTCATCCTGGGCGCGCTGCTTCCCTTGCGCGACCTCTGAGACTTGGGCATTCTGGAAAGTCGGGGCCTGCATGTATGCTTGTCCACCAAATCCACCCATGTTGTATCCCGACATGCCTCCATACGGGGTTTGCTGTAATGTAGGCGCCTGTGCGACCGGAGCCTGCTGCCTCAAGAAGTCCTGATGCCATGCTGACGCTGCGCTCGCCGGTTGCTGTCGCTGTTGCTGGAACGTCTGTGGCGGGGGACTGCTAACATCCAAGCGTTGAAAGTCGGCCGCCCAGTCGGGTGCTTGTGGGGCTTGCGCAAACTGGGGAGGAGGTTGCGCGAATCGTGGATCGAAAGGTTGGAAGTTTTGTGTTGGAAGAGGCCGGCCGCCGGCTTGAAAGGCTTCAAACTCGTTGTCTAACGCGCCTACATTAGGTCCCGGAGATGATCTAAAGCCCTGCTACAATTTAGATGGCGAAGCGCAAGATTTCGGTATAACCACACACCTGCGCCGGTGAATGTCTGCCCACCAAGCGGTCCTGCTGAAGCGTCCGGTCTACGGTCGTGTGCTTCTGGAAGTTTTGCAGGGCATTTGAAGGCCCACAAAGCTCCGCCATGTCGAATCAAGAAGGAGTAAAAGTACACTAAGAGGGGTATCAACGCATGCTAGAAGGAAAGTGTGAGAGAGTCTGTCGGAGTGATGGTGTTGCGGCAACTGAGCGTCATGTTCCCGGAGATCAGAAGCCGACCGCATGCCGAGGCAAGAGGCGTGAGTGGGCCCCACGCGTCAGCCCTAGAGCTGTCAGGCAGGTGCGATCCATGGATGACGCACACGCACGTGCTACACTCTTCACTCCCCAAATTCTGTGAAAGCGGCAGTTGGTAAGATCGCGCGTGGCATAAATTAAGTCACACGTCTACGAGCTGGAATGGATTAGAAGATCAGCACTGTCCGTCCAAAAAGTGTAGACCCGAATCGACGTAGCACAACACCGGTGAAGAGCTGGAAGTCGTTGAGACGCACGAACATGCGCGGAGAGTTACACAGCAGTATGGGCGAGTCAGATAGGTTAAGTAACATGCGTTCCAATCGAGAGCGACGGTAATTCAAAACCATGCATAGAGAACTACATAACAGAACAACCGAGCAAAGGTACCTATATATGTGTATAAAATCCTAGAGAGAAGATTGGTATATGTCGTCATGAGCAAAGAGAAACCAACTCCTCCAAAACACAAACGCATCATAAACCCCCATCTCAACCCCCTCATCTACCATAAAACATCTCTCCCAAACTAATATTCGCCTGCCTAGACGAACCCCCAACCACACTCCTCGACCTAGACCTCGACTTCTTCCTCACAAAAGCATACTCCTTCTTACCGTGTCTATCCCTCCCTTCCGATTCAATGAACAACTTGCTACCGTGTCCAGTGCGCAGACGACGGGTATGCTCGAAGAGGATGTCAGTTTCGCGTTGGGACATTTCGCGGAGGACGATGATGTATTCGGGGTTCTGGGTAGGATGTTAGTATATTACTTGGTAGGAGATTATAGGGTTGGTGGATGGGGACTTACAACGTCGAATTCGTAGGGGATGTCGTAGTAGTGCAGCGTCTCGACGTCGAGATGGCTTCTGTGTACCTTGGCGTAGGTAGGTGGCGGCGCAATGGCGATCTGATGCGAAGAAGAGTGCGAGTGAGAATGAGAGTGGTGGTGGTGCGGTGGTGGCGGAGGCGCAGGAGGAGCGACTGGATGGAGAGGATGGTTAGGCATCATGCCTGCTTGAAGCTCTCTTTGCTTGTCCGGGTTGACGAGTGCCTGGATCTGGTTGTCTTGGAAGCCGAATTGAGCGAGTCGCTTACGCATTGTCTCCTCGAGCTCCTTCTCCTGGGCCTCTTTCTTCCGCTTCTCTGCTTCTTCTGCAGCTTGCTGCTTTCGCGTGAAGGCGTCGAATTCTTCCTTTTCCTTGCGCTTTCGCTCTTCCTCTTCGAGTTTGAGCTTCATGATGAGCTCCTCTTTTGCTCGCTTCTCCTTGTCGGCGTCCAGGATCTTCTTGCGCTCGTACTCATAGATGATACGGTCTTTCTCTGCTTGAGCTTCGGCCTCTTCTTTGGCCTTGTTCCGTTGGTATTCATCGACAGCACGCTGTTGAGCTTCCTTTGCCTCTCTTGCCTGTTTAGCTACTTTGGCTTCGTTATCAGCGATGATTCGCTTGCGCTCTTCTTCAAACGCCTTTTCCTTGAGTTCACGCTCACGTGCCTCCTTCTCAAGCTTAGCCGTGTTCTCCGCAATGATGCGCGCGCGTTCTTCGTTCTCTCGCTTCTTCTTCTTCTCCATGTCAGAAAGGATCTTCTCACGTTGTTCCTCGGCCTCGCGTTGCTCTCTGGCTTGCTTGAGCTTGGCCTCGGCGAGAATCCGCTTGCGTTCATCATCCTGTTCTCTCTGCTCCCTCTCTAGTTTGGCAAGCATCTTGTCGCGCTGTTCCTCAGCCTCCCTTTGCTCTCTGGACATCTTCGCCCTGTTCTCGGCGATGATTTGAGCTTTCTTCCTCTCCTCGTCGATATCGCGTCGCTCGCGGTCTCGGTCTTCCCTCTCTCGCTTCAACTCCCAATCGCGACGCATACTCTCCTCTATTCTCTTGATGTTTTCCGCTTCTAGCTCACGGTCCCTTCTATCATGGATGAACTCAAGCTCAACCCTGCGCCTGGCCAATTCTTCCCGTCTCTCGGTTTCCTTCTCCCAACGATCCCGCTCAGCCTTCTCCTCGGCTTCTTCAAGGCGTTGTTGCATTAGTGCCTCTTGTACCTTATCTTTGTAGCCATCTGATGAGTGATGACGTCTTTCCCTCTCGAGTTGCTGTTCAGCGTCCCGAAGCCGCTGCTCAGCCAGTGTCAACTTGACTTTGTCCTCATAACTGCGGTCTGGCGAGTGATGATGGTATCGCTCCTGACGCTCCCTCTCAAGCCTATCTTCGAGATCTCTAAGGCGTTGCTCAGCAAGTGTCAACTTGATCTTGTCTTCGTAGTTCGGCTCGGGAGCACGTTGATGCTCATACTCGTGCCTAGAGCGCGAACGATGCTCCTTCTTTATGTCTGCTCGTAGCGCAGCGATGTTTTCTTCCAGGTCCTCAAACCCACCGGGCATGCGTCGGCCACGAGGACTGGCGTCTTGACCCTTCTGCTCAGTGCTTACACGGGGGTGGCTATCGTTATCCAGGTGACTGGTGTTGTATATTGTCACGTTGGGAGCAGGCGCATGACCTTGTGAGCGAGTTCGATGGAGACCGGTTGTATAGTGCACTTCAGGAGTCAGAAACTCTGTCGTGCGACGACCGTAGTCAGGACGATAGACCTCGTCGTCTTGGACTCTCCGCGGTGGGGGCCGGGGTGCGGGGGGATGAACATGACGGGTGTGAATGTTCAAAGTGTCCTTTGTGACTTTGTGCCTGTGCCACTCATCGTCCGTCGAGTAACTCGGGTCCCAGTCGGATGCTCGTGGCATAGTGGGCGAAGAGGCTGGAAAGACGGGTGTAAAGTAGAAAAGCTATCCCGACTGTTCAGTCTGAAATTTGAAGTGAGGACAAAGCAGAGCAATCAATCCAAAACCTTTGGGTTGGTCTCAGTTGCGGCGTGGACACACAGAGCGGGGTTGACGCTGAGGGGGCGGCACAGCAGCAGAGGTGACACGGTATAAAGAGAAGGTAACGTAAGAAAGCAGAAATGTCAGCAAAGGTGCGGCTGCAGCAGAACTTGAAGGAATTGCGCCCCTCTTGCTGGAATGGGGGCTGAAAGCTGCCTGATCACTAGCGGCATCCTCATGCGCCCGGTCTTGTGAACACAAATCAGCCGGAAGGCATATTTGACCTATCAACGATAATTTAGAAGGCCGTCCACATGCCTGCATCCCCTCTGCGCTGTTGTAGCGCTGCAGTGTGCGATTCTTGCGACGGCTTTGCCCTACATCCTTCGGTCTCTACAGCTAGCGGCACGAGGATGGTGATGGTTTGGTGGGGCATGTCGAAAATAACACTAATCAAGCGCCATCAAGCGCCAAAGCCTCCATCTACTCTAGGCTGGGGGCGGAAGTGACACATCAAGTAAGCCTTGTTAGTGTACAGCGCTGCTATCAAGCAACCCGATCAATCTCCAAGTGTCAACTTCGTGGATACTCCCACTCCGTTGATCTCCCTTTGACGCGCGCTCCAAGACACATGTTCTCCATGCTTCAGCGCCTCCTGAAACAGCTCCGCTCGCGTGCGACCCGCCGAGGTATCGTGACCAACAAGCTGATCGGAGTAAGCCTTCATGTGCCCGGGGCCGCGTTTTCGGCTAGAGCAACCCCAAGATCGTCTTCGATAGCCACAGCTCTTCAGCCGCACCTTTCCAGTCAGGGTCGGTCCGAAATTCCAGACTTTCGGTCTTGATTAGATGGTGTGAACTTTGACGAGATGGGTATTCCGTGAGAGACGTTAAGATGCAGATCGTTTATTCCATTTGAACACTCCAATGTGCATGTGAGCGAAGAGGTGTCTAGCAGAGTGTCGGCGCCAGCGAACGCCGGCTATGCAAGTATCGTACAGTTCGTAATTATATCTTCTCCTCGACGACTTCCTTCAAGCTCTCCGCTCGTCGAATCAGCTCTTCGTAGACCGTCCAGGCAAGCGCACTGCTCATTGCCTTCCTCGCGATCCTAATACCAAGTCCATCGAACATGCTACGCATGCCCTCCTCCGCAAGCATCTTCTTGCTTGCCTGCACCATATTGCCGTACTTATGAGGCATAAGCTGTATACGTGTCTTGATAGCATCGAAAGGATTCGTAATAGTCGTCCCCAGCCCCGCTGCTGCAACACCCGAGATGAAGTTTATTCCCGCGGATGTGCTGGTAGACAGCTTGGTAGCGGTGCCGGACGTCTCCTCAATCTTGGTTGCGAGACTAGAAAGTTTCCGTTTCGATTGCTCGTAGAAGAGGACGTAGAGCCCCGCGTAGGGTGCATCGCGAACGGCTGTTGCGCCGAAACCAGCAAAGAAGCCTTTGAGTCCTTCTGTTCGGAAGATGTCTCGAGATGCGGTAAAGAGCGAATTGTACGAGTACAAACTACTCTCGTACCGCACCTTCAGCACGGTTATCGGCATCATGATGAAGCCTGCCCATGTCCGCGCAAAGGCTCCCGTTGCCAGATTCGCGGTGTTGCTCAGTTTGGGCAAAGAGCTCGAGTGCTCCGCGCCTTTGACTGCTGCATCGCTGCTGCCCGCCGCGACCAGACTCGCTCTATGCCGTAACGCGTTGAGACTTGAAAAGTATATGGCAGAGCCAAACCCTGTGCGCAGGGTACTTGGTAATGTGCCCCTCCAGAACTGGCGTATCGGGTTCGGGCCGCTGGCTATCGACTGGATGGTACCGAGGAGGGTGCTCGAGCGGGATTGTTGGACGCGGGTCTTGAGGAGGTCGGCGGGTTGGAGAAGGACGGCAGACAGAATGCCTGAGTTTAGACCGGCGAAGAAGTGGACTGCGCGGTTGTTAGTAATTACAATCCGCTAGCTGTCGCAATAGCAATTATGCTCCTCGCTCTTTCCACTTACAGTAGGACGACGAGCGCTTTCCGCGGGCGCCATCTGACATTGCCGAGGCGTCGAGTATTCAATTCCTATTTTAAGAGATCTGAAGCTGCAATACGCATCATGGTAATAGCCCTGGAAGACTGGCCGCAAAGATTAGGGTGAGAGAGTAACAACGTGTCTGTCGGTCTCACGCGAAAAAGTGTCATGACGACATGTTCCGAGCCTCGGCGAGTCGGTGATATTTTCGCTTGCGTCTGGTACCGCGTCTATGAACACGATACGTCTGATGAACTCATGAACTCCGTAGACAGTATTAGCATCGTGATTCGAAAGTCCGTTGTCCAAATTAGAACAACTGGCCGAAGCGCATTCATCATGTCGCATTATCTTGATCTTAAGCTCAATCAATATTACGAAGTAGCACCTTCTCAACCCTATCATACATCGCTCCATACATCCCAGACATGACTCCAGAAGCCTATCAATCACGTACTCGGTCCTCCATCAGTCCTCATCATCGTCGTCGTCTCCAAAGATAGCCTTGAAAACATCCTCAGAAGCCCGGTCATTCGAAAGCGCCTCGTTCTTCTCCACATCCACAGCTGCATGTCCACTCTGTTCTGTAGCCGTAGCTGCAGCCGGGACAGCAGCCTCCGATGCCTGTCCCATCCAAGCCGGCCGCTGGAGAGCAGGACCGTTAGTCAAAAACTCGTGTTGCAGCTTCTCCATAGCCGACTTGGAAACAGCCTCCTCCGTCTGCGATTTGAAGTGGCTTTCGCCAGCATCAAACTCCGGAGGCATGTCTGGTGGGGGCTTGACGTTGAAGCGCTTGCAGAGGAGTCGCGATGGGTAGAAGGGGAAACTACTTCGAGTCATGGGACCGTACATGCCTAGCTTCGCCGCCTGCTCTGCGGGATCTTCTGGCTTTGCGGTGGGCTGTCGTAGAAGGTTCGCATTCGCTGCTCCACCATCGTTTCCGTTCAAGGTCGAGGATGACGCAGATGTGAATCGGGAGGCCATAATGCCAGTTGTGGGCTTGAAGACTTCTGCAGCATGTGCAAACTCCTGTAGCTCTTTGATCCAGTCTGAGACTGATACGCCCTCCCTTCGTTCTGGCAGGTCCTCCTTCAGCCCTGCTTTCAACTCTAGGAAGCCGACGTAACGTGCACGCTTCTGCATGTCTTCAGCATAAGGCATCCAGCCCGTCGCACCCTTGGCGAGGGCCGCGGCTGCCACGCTCTTATCGAGACTAGGCAAAAGGCTCCACAGATCTTTCGGCTGAGCTTTGCTTGCAGGTAAATGTCCTCCAGGAGCAGCTTCTCCCAGGCCCTGGGGCAGATCGGCTTTACCAGATAACGCAGCCAACCGATCTCGGGCGTCCTTGGGTATGAAGTCGAAGATTGACTTTCCGGGCAAAGCTTTCTCCCCCAAGAGTGCCGAACGCCCTTTAGCATCCAACGTTGATGCTTTCGCTGCGTCTGCTACAGATTGGTAGTCTTCCGATTCTGAAGTCGGGGTGGCACTTTTGGAAGATTTCCAACCTGGAGGTATCTTCGGTGGAGGGTATTTAGGCTTGCTGGTGAGTTCGGTGAGACCGACCGCAAACGTGAAGCCACTCAACGGAGATCTCCCATCTATAGATGGCCTGCTCAGCGAGACCAAAGCTTTGGACGAACTCTTCTTCGAGACAAAGACATGCTTCTCTCCTGCTCCTGGCTTGGCGAATTTACTGGGCTTCTTCCCCTTCTTCTCCTTGCCTATGGTTTTGTTGAATGTGATCTTCGGACCCAATTCGTACGGGTCCTCGTCGTCCGAGCCGGTATCGTTGAGCACACCAACGCCAAAGGAAGACTTCTTCAGCGCAGGTTTCTTCACAGTCGATGCCTTCTTCGGACCCTCAAGAAAATGCAGGTCGAACTTAGATGGACGATCCGCAGCCTGTTCTTCCACAGCATCCAGGCGAGCTTCCGACGTGTATCCCAGACCTTTGCGACGGACCTCTTCTCGTGGCAAAGTCATAATGAGAGCATCTTGAGGCGCAAACAGATGAGCTGCATCGTCCTTGGAACCGGATGTGCCATCTTCCAGGTCAGCATTCCGGCGCACCTTGCGACCAATGCCCTGATCTCGTCGCCAGCCCATCTTCTGCGCAATCTTGACGCCCATTGTCTCCTCCTGGGTCACGAACAGCCCGAATAGTCCATCGTCGTTCGCCAGTCCAGTTTCGCCTATGCCGGCAAAGTTCTGCGCAGTCTCCAGTTGGCGCGATTCAGCTGCTGCTGCCAGATCCTCCTCGTCCATAAAATCTTCGGCTCGCTGGGTCGGGCCATTCGGCTGGTCTTTGTTGCGGTTTGCGCGCGAGGAAACGAAGGTTTTCGGGGTCCATCCTTCTTTAGATCCAACTGTATTAAAGTATCTTAGCATAGTCAAGAAGTCTTGCGTTCGTCAAAGTATGGCTCGGAAACTTACCCTGCACTGAAACCTCCAGTGAATGCGCCGTGGAGTCTCCGGCGACCTCGCTCGTCCGTCACGGTCTGCTTCCACACGGGCACGAAAGCGCCATCATCGGCCTCTTCTTCGGGGAGCCCGGTGCCTAGGGAGATGTAGGTTGTCGGTCCGCCGCGAGAGCGCTTTTGCGCGTTAGTCGGGGAAGGCGCGCGCGGCCGCTTGTATGCCATGGTGATAGATATTGGGAGTGGAGTTGTGCAGGTCGTGAGATATTGTTTCGGGACCAGATTCCTAGAGCCAGATTTGGCTAACGCAATCCGTAGACCAGGTTCGTCCAGCAGTCAAGCAGTCACCAGCCAAGCGAGGGAAAGTTGAAGCGGATCACGAGTAAGCGGCCGATGGGTGACTAATCAGCCGCGATGCTATTGGCTGAGGGACGCTTACCCAGCGACCAAGCGCAGTCGGACCACGTCCGGTAGCCAACTCAACAAG